TCTCGTATTCACAATTACAACACGAGATTTCGATAAGTATGTTGGAAAAAATACTTGTAGCTCTTGTGTTCTCATTCCCCATTTAATCGCCTTAATATTTGCCGTATACATACCTACATACGTAAACGTGTACGCAAATTACACAACAATGTTAATTAACTAATTATACCTAGTTAAAGTAAAAAAGGAAATTCGTAAGAGAAGACAAAACATTCTTTTTCTAACTTTCCTATTAAAAAAAAAAACACGGGATTTCTCTTGTGATTGTAATATTTCATTAAAACATTAAAGTGTAATTATTTACATTGTGTATTTTTACATCGTAGACATCGCCTTATATGGTTGGTAAATTATTAGAAGATCTCATAACTTACGCGAAAAACATGTTAATCATTTAGGTTCAATGTATACTTAAACATACCATCAACAACACTAGGGGGCATACTTTTAATTTATAAAGTTTCTAATGGTTTAATAAACGTCAGGATATAAAACATACATAAAACATGTATTCAACTGTTTCGAGGATCAATTAGCAAAAGTTATGATGTGAAAATAAGATATTGTTACATTTACTACTGCAATTAATATTAATGTTGATACACTTAAACGTCTTATCAAAGCAAACATTGGGTAAGATACATACGATTAGAATTTAGGTAGGAACTGATCGATTTGAAATGTGGGATCTGTAAATTATTCAAGCTAAATAATCGCAAATTAGGTACCTAGTTACTTTTAAATTGTACGATAAGTAATTCATTCATTACCTATCTAATCATTGAAATAATATTTAAAAAAAAAACATTGAATACAGCAGTCTCGAGTTACAACGTTCCTGATAAAAAGTTATAATTGTCACAGGATTTATTTTTACCCTTTGTCCATTGCAGCCGGTGTCAACTGATAGCAAAGTGTAAGCGATTTTTATTTATCTTAATAGCTATTAGGTAACTAGGTAAGAATACTTCGTTTTGTATTGTTCAATAACTACGACTGTTTTCTCTCATTTTCTAAAACTAATTTTCAGTTGTGTGCGGCGCAAAATTAAGACAAAATTAAAAAAGGTTTTTATGACTTTTTTGCATCATACCATATGCCCACGATGGAAGGTACCTTAAAATCTGATAGAGTAAAAAGAGTTTCAAGTGTTATATTCGTCTAAAAACGGACGGACCAATTCATGTTTAATATTTATCATTAAAAAAAAGTATGAGATAACATGCATTCGAAGTTATAACCATAGTTTGCTTTATGGCTAATTCAGTAAAAACTATACAATAGATGCGTGATCATTGTCTCTTGTTTTAAATTCAGACCCTTTAATAAATACCTGGTAAAGTTTATTCTTGAATGTTTGAAAAATCCCGTAAAGGCTTAAATACTAAACGTTTTTGATTTCCAGTTTTATTTTATTACTAAAACCGAAATTCTCAAACTCAGACTTTTAACAAAGAATTTATTAGAAATTAGATATTTCGAAAAACAAGGAATATAGAAGCGAAATCAGAGATTGGATGAGAGATAGCCAAGACCTCTGTAATGATTGCTAAATTAATAAGTATTGTTTAGGAGTAACAAAAAGTTGTACCAACTTTTAATACCTACCTGCCTAATGCTAGTGATGACACAAGCAGGAAAATGTTAAAACCTAGACACGTTCACAAATCTTTTTAACGTAGAAGTTCTTCGTCACGTCTAAATACTTGGCTCTTTTTTTATTTATACCGTTACCTTATTTTTACCGTTATCCACTAAATAATAATAAAAGAATTCGTAACAGGTCAGCATCATAAAAGCAAAGTTTAATTTAGACACTGAAGCAATTTCTTTCTACCCGAAATTGAATACTGAAATCATTGTATGCAATGAAATAAGTAACGAACGCCGGTGTTTTAAAGATGTTGTCACACTCCACCTGAAATAGGACGGTGAGTGCTAAGTGTGATTGTTGGTAGCATCCGAGTGTTCCATAATTTGTAATCGATGGCAAATCAGCAATTGATGGAGCTGCTTCTATCGGACATGCCGAAGCGGTTTTTATCTATTATAATAAATAGAATTACAACATTTCATTAATAAATTATTTTAATTTAATCATAACTGAGTAGCAGCTTCTGGCATATTAAGCCCTTTCAAAATATATTAGACGAAGCAGTTTACCCCACTGAGTTTCGCACCGGATTTTTCAGTGGGTCGCGATTCCGACCTTGTAGTAGATTCAGCGAAGCACTGCTTTTGCTAGAGTTATGTAGTGTTAGCAATTCTCTCAAATTGAGCTCGTGAACTCACTTACCGGTCCGCGCGTAGTTGGAATAACCCATTAATTAGCCTTTTTTTTTGATTGAAAGATTACTGTTGGCCCAAAGGCCTTTTCAGTTTCACCAGGACAGTTGGGCGAGTAAAGGCTCAGCCAGGAGGGGTGGGATTTGCTAACAACTACCCGAACGCCTCCGAAGGAGGCCTAACAACTCAAGAGCAATTGCTTCGCGAATGCATCTACTACCGGATCGGAATCGCGACCCGCTGAGAAGATCCGGCGAGAAACTCAGCGGGTTGATGCATGGGTTAGGTTGCACGTCGACCTCTTTGTCGAGTTCGACGAGTACGGTTACCGGGGTCCCTAAGCCTGCTCCTAGCATTAGAGCTGAAGACGTCTAATGCAAAGTTTATTGGATCTGATGGATCCGTAAGGACGTGTCTAGGGCGTCGACGGTGACTGGCTCCTGCATGATCAGGATTCGGGGAGTAGTCAGCGGCGGCAACGATAAGGCGATTATCATGACGCATATCCTTATCGAAGTACCGTTCCGACGCTGACTTCATGTATTTCCGAATTGATTCGAGGCCCAGGTCGTCGTGTAGGTCAACGTTTCTCACAAACCACGGAGCTTCGACAGCTAACCTGCAAAAGCGGGATTATAGGGATTGGAGGGTGTCTATGTGTGCGGGCCGCGTGAGCGAACACCACACTCGCGTAAGTCATGACGGGCCTTATGCAAGTTTTTTAAAGTGTCACCTTGTTCCGAAGGGACATTTTACTTCGCTTACAGATCATGGGATAGAGTCTGCCGAGAATAAATGCGGCACGATCGCGGACTGTTTTTATATGCGGGCGGAATGTCATGGATGCATCCAGGGTGACTCCCAGGTACTTGACCTTCCTGGCCCAGGGTATAGGTTGGCCGAAGAGGGTGATCGGGGGTGTGATATTTCTACTCCTAATGCGTGAGGAAATAAGCGGTGAGTTTCTCCTTTGAAATAAGACTGCGGTGCTTTTCGCTGGGTTGATGTCTATGCGCCATTTTCGGAACCACTGTCCTAGGGCTAGGGCTGCGCTCTGAAGCTTCTTCGCGATTAGGGACTTGTTTCTACTGGAATAGTAAACAGTCGTGTCGTTGGCGAATAAAGCTAGCTGGGTCTGCGGCGACCGCGGAATATCGTTGACGAATAAGCTAAATAGGAGGGGCGAGAGGACAGAACCTTGCGGGACTCCAGCCGTGAGGGGTCGCGGGGAGGAGCGGGTTCCCTCGACTCGATATCGAAAAGAGCGGTTCGACAAGAAGTCCCGTATGACGAGCACGAGACTATCCGGCACACCCATTTTGAATAGTTTTACAAATCAAACCGTTGTGCCAGACTTTGTCGAACGCTTTTGCGACGTCGAAGAAGAGGGCTCCCGTGTAGATTGGTTTTGGTCGGTTAAGCCCTACGAGAATGTGCTCCGTGAGGCAGTGCACCTGTTGTACGCATGAGTGATTTGCACGGAATCCAAATTGTTCATCGATGAGAATGCCTATGGATGAGACGAAGTCTCTGAGGCGTTTGTAGAGCAGATGCTCATACAGTTTGCCTAGAGACATGAGGAGGCTAATCGGGCGGTAACTACAGTTAGCCATAGCGGCATTGAAAATAGATGCCAACATCACGATGAGTTGGACGGGTAAAAGTTTAACAACGCGGTTAGATATACCGTCGGAACTGGGAGCCTTGCGAGGACGTAGGTCTTTGATCAGGTCTTAAACTTCCATTGGGGTGACAGGTGGTAACGCGTCCGAGGGTGGCAGGAGGCTCTGCGTTGTACCTCACTGTCTACTAATTATACATGAGCTGGGTCCGCGGATTGAATGCTAGGCATGCACTGGGTTTGCAATGTATCGGCCAGCAGCTCTGCTTTTTCGTCATCATCGAACGCCGCGACTCGGCTTGAGGGGCCTACGAGGGGGGGGGGGGTTATAGTTACTACCGTATCCAATTTGAGAGTACGAGCTAAGCGGTAGTTAGACCTTTGAGAGCCATTAATTAGGCTACCAACGATTAGACAGGAAAAAAATGTTTAAAAGCAACTACTATCAAAATTGTAACAATAATATTGAAAACACGTTAATAGACGTGATAGGCAATAGAAAACTTCACGTAACCACCAAAAAACATTAGAAAATTATTTGAAAGAGAACGCACGCATATTCTACGAGAGCCAAGAGCCAGTTTGCCAACTCCTTATTAGATATTTAGAAATAGTTATCAGTAAATAAATTGTTAAGTATAAATTTTCAGAACGTTAAATCCAGAAACCACCCTTTTCCACTTTTCCCAAATCCACTTTTTTTGTTAGTTTTGAACCGAGCTTTTCTCTCGTGATTTTAGGGTATGAGGTTTATGGTATAAGCATCTTTTCAACTTATTATCAATGCCATCCTTTGCGTACAAGTTGGTGATTGCGGTATCCTTGTTAAATACTCAGAGAATGCTGCAAAGTCACTGGTGAATCTTCGAGTTGTCCTTTACGGCACACAAGGCAAAAAATGTGGTGGTACTATTTTAGGCCAATACTGCGCAGTCTGGTTCGATCGATCTAGGCAAGCAAAGCAAAATCTAATATTGTGGTGAACCTTGGGAATGGTCTTTCTACACAACTGCTGTCGGTTATACAAAGCATGTGTGTGTATTATTTATTGTTCAGTACTCTTCATGATTTTAAGGTAATCCCTTTGTTGCAGTGTGCTAAAGGAAAGCGTCTTTACCAAATTGGATTTGGTGGATTACTTCAGCTTAGCAGACAACTCTTTGCCGGAGTTACCAAGGCATGTGCTTCAGCACCTGCCTCACGTAAAGACACTCGATCTCTGTAGGAACAAGATAACTAAGCTCACCGAAGAAGATTTCCGGGTATGAATTACCTAATATTTTTAATAAGTAAACCTTTTAAATACCTATATCAAATATATATAATACACGCATGCATATATGACATTATGCTTCAAAATATTAGTTATAATAGGGCTCAAGGCTGAATTATTGTTTATTCAGGTCAGCAAAATTTATCCATGTTGTGATTTGTTTTGGTTTATTTTAATACCGACAATTTTTTTATGAATCCTGTGTGGAAATAGTAGATCTTTGATTAACAACTCAAAATATGAATCTGAATAATTTCAATTTTAAAAAAATTATACTACTGTTGAACTGAACGTAGCATGACGTAGTGAAACAAACACGAAATGTCCATAGTCAACCATGTCTTTCGATTTTAATAGTCAGACAGAATATAATATCTATGTACAGGAGTTTCTACAGGAAATTAAAAAACAATCTTAAAATGAAAAAAATTGGTATTTACTTTGTTGTTTTTTTTAAATAAAGGATATTCAAGAATTGGAGCATTTGTTGGTCGCTGACAATCAAATATCAGAAATAGAAAAAGACGCGTTGCCTAAGGGGTTAAAACATGTACATCTAGGAATCAATAAATTAAACACATTGAACGGAGCTCTCAGAGATTTGGATGATCTAGAATGGATTTTTATCAATGCCAATAATCTAAAATCTATTGAGAACGAATTACCCACAGTAAGTATGATCTTCAAAATTTTAACATTAATATATATACTATAATATATAAATCTACAGTGGTTTTTACGGACGTTCCGTTATAACTACTGAACCATGGATCCGATTGACTTGAAACTTGGTATCCGTGTAGAAAATACATGTACTTAATGGATAGGTTAATATTTATATGAATGTTGGACTCCCTACACCGGTTGCGGGGACGTTAATGATGAGAATGTTTGTGAGGGTGAGAAATAATAATGTTAATTTAAAATGCCCAGCGAAGCGGACGGGTACCTACAGCTAGTCTTCTTCCATCTTCTTCTTCTATAAATATAAAAATGAATTACTGTTCGTTAGTCTCGCTAAAACTCTAGAGCGGCTGGACCGATTTCACTAATTTTGGTCTTGAATTATTTGTGGAAGTCCAGAGAAGGTTTAAAAGGTAGATAAATATGAAAATGCCCGGAATTAAATAAAAATAACAATTTTGTTTTACCTTTGATGTGTCCCCCGTCGGAGGGATTCCTTTTGTTTGTTTTAAGTTTAGTTTATACAAAAAAAAATGTTTTTATATATCGATTGAGGCACTACGAAGTCTGCCGGGTCAGCTAGTTTGTAATAATAATTAATTAAATATTTTTTTGTAGAAAGCCAAAAAAATGCAACTTATTCATGCAGCACACAACGAGCTTCAAAGTTTACCGAGCGATTTAAAACTAATGCCATCGCTACAGTCTTTGTACTTCTATGGAAACAACATTAAATCTCTGGACGAAACTTTGCAAAAATCAAGAAATCTCATGAGAATAGGACTTTCATTCAATAAAATCGAATTTGTAAGTGTTTTATCTCATGTTTACTTTAATTATGAAACAAAGTATACCTACCTAAGTAGGTAGATTTAAAAGCTAATTTTATAATAATTGTGATTCATTAGTACTCAATTTAAAAAAATGCTTAAGTATTTGAATTATATAAAAAATATAAAGTTGAAATTATTGTCAATGCTAAAACATTTTTCTAACTTACAGTTGACTAAAGACGATTTCACTGAAGCAGAAAAGTTAGCTGAACTAGACATCGCATACAATGAACTGAAATATTTGAATGGCTCCTTGAGAAGTTTAAAATCATTACGATACTTGAACTTGACACACAACTATATGACTGAATTTTCATTGCAAGAAATTAAAGGTCTCAGAAGACTATCTGTGATAGATCTTTCCCACAATCAAATAAGTCTTCTTACCGGGAGCTTGGAAGTAAGTTTTGTATAAAAACGACCGTTCTTTGTTTTTAGTTATATATTAATTAGTTGAGTAGACGTAGTAGTTTCCCAGGGGACAACATAAAGCAAAACAGATTTTGGGGGTCCACGAGATGGAAAAAACGCCCTTTAGCTAATACAAGTTCATATTTGAAGCTTTCAAGATACTGAATAGGTTGTATGACGTGTACCAACTTAATATAAGATTGACTAATATTTTATTAGAAGCATCATCGTTATAGTTTTACATTTATTTACAGAATTTATTTTAAATTTATTTATTTTGTTAAATTTTGCCGTGAAAATGTTATCAAGTTTACTTACTTAACCAACCGCAAAGTTTTGAAATTGGTAAGTATTGTATATCAATAGGGAAAAAACTAGAAATAGCATTTTTAAAGTAATTTGGCTAGGCGGGTCAGGTATCGGATAATTTTGGAACAGGGGTTTCTTATCCAAGATAGTTTGGGAATCCCTGGTCTATATGGTAAAAATAAAATAGTTACTGGAATCCACAGATATTACAATCTCCAGCTGAAATGAATAGGTAGATATTTACCTTAGGATATAAAATAGAAGTCTCCATAAGTAAAATAAATCAGTCGTCGTATATATTGCTGTCATAAATCAAACCCACAAAAATAAAGATCGCGTTATTACTGGTGGTTAGGCATATTGTACGCACGCACGAGTAGGTGTAGTACTCATTTCTATTGTGAAGCAGCTGTGTTTTATGGATTGAAGGGCAAGACCACCATTATACTATACAATTGAGACTTACTTAGACAACATCTCAACGAAGGTAGCGGCATTCACGTTGTGAAGTCTATGAGCTGAGTAATCACTAAACAGCAGGTGGATCGAGATTCTGTACATCCGTCTAGATGTAAATAAAGAAAACCGTGTAAATCAGCAGGATGGAGGAACTCACCGATGCCTGCTTATAAGACACCATACAATCAGTAAAATTAAAGGGCTGAAATGGTTTCATAGAGAATGTATTTAAGGAGAGAATCTTACTGCTGAGGATAAATTAAGGAAAGATGGTTGCAATAACTAGATGTGGCTGGTGTCACGTATCGGTATCTTCTGATGAATAGGGAAACGAAATAGGATTATCTGAACTCAAAGTATAAGAAATGTATTGAATTAACGTTTAACTTTGTATTGCAGAATTTAGTAGATGTCGAAACACGCGTTTTGGAGTTGCGATTAGACCACAATCATATCTTCAATTTAGGTGGAGCGCTAATGGGTCTTCACGGTTTATTGCGACTTAATTTGAGCAACAATCTCATTCAAAAAATTTTACCGGATGACCTTTTAGGTCTAGAAGACTTGAGGCTACTTGATGTCTCGTACAATCATATTACAACTTTAGAAGAAACGTCGAAGGTTTGTGATTTCTTAAAAAAGGTACACAAAGAATTGCAGGGCGAGCCAAGCGAATAATAATATATAATACCTATTTATCTATTTTAAGCTTATGCGATTGAAGGATTCGAGTCTGGTTAGATATTTTAAAACAAAACTGATTACTTTCAGACATTCTTGCCGTCACTTGAAGAGTTGATAGCACATCACAATAACATAACAGTCCTGGATAAAGATTTTCATGGATTGCCGTCACTTTGTTCTGCTGATCTATCGTTCAACAAAATCCACACAGTAAATTATGACCTAGTTTCGAAGTCACGATGTACCATTAACGGAGTGCCTAGTATTTTGAAGATTTATCTTCAAGGTTTGTAAATTACTCTTTCAATTTTATGGATGTTTCGAAAGTGACGCAAAATGTGCTGAATAATCCTTATTTTCAGTATTTTATCTGTTCCGCAATAATAATAATTAGCCTGAGCGAATGGTTATTATTTATCGGTAAATAATTAATTATCTTAAATGTGCTACTGCGACGTTATACCTCTTGCATATGTATCAACTCCGACTAACAATATATCTAAATACATAATTACTTCGAAAACAAACTTATATTGAATTAAAAGTGAACTTCTGGAATGTTACTTTACCTATTACATAGAGTCTGTGTAATTGGCTTATTACAGGATGCTTAAAAAACTCTTACAGATAATCCTGTGTTGTGCGACGACCATCTTTACGAACTGGTGACAGTATTTGAGAGTCTGAATGCTCGTGTTAGTGGAGCATCTACCTGTGTCGCCCCACAAACCACGGCGCCAATTTTGATGCGGGCTCTCAACGATATTGGGCCAAAGAAAGAAAATTCACCACTAATCGTTGTGGCACACATGGTCCCTGATATTCGTTTGGCGCCGCAAGATAATTTAAATCATGAAACTGTATCGTCTGCAATTCCTCAATTTGTATACAGACGAGTTAACCCTCTGTACCGCCATGTACTGCCAGATCAAGAAGATGGAATATCGGTAATAGCAGACCCTCCGTTAACGTTACCATCTACAAATAGGAAAGTTGTCGTAAAGTGGCCAGAAGAAACCAGAATTGATAAACCCTCGCATCCTTTAGCTGACCAAATGCGTCTGCGCGAACTCAACGAATCACCACAGTGAACTTTGGCACAAATGGCGCCGTGTTGCTTTAAAGTCGACGCCATCGAACTGAGTACTTCGCCTTCGGAACAAATATATACTGCTCTACATAGAAAAATGGGCAAGATGTCTTTAATTAGGGCAGGCGAAGATGAAATAACTATTAGATTAAACCTATTAATTTAAATACATTGTAAATAAGAAATTCTGTGTAGTCGGTTCTATTTTCGGTAAATCTGTTTTCCGCATTATAATGTTTATGAATAAAGCAAATAGTATGGACATCAACCATTTTAAAAATTGTTTTCCAGGCAAAGACATTTACAATTTTATTGGTTATGCCCGATTGACATTCTTGTGTCTAAGAATTATGCATATTAGTGTAGTATTGGAGAACAATAAAATAAATATTGAATAATATTATATTCAGTGTTAACAGTAATAAATTTGCTGTTTAAGTGGCTTTGGACCTGATAATAATACTCATAAATATAACTGTCAGTACTTTTCACAGACAGTTCGATTTAAAGAAGTGTACAACTAGTTTAATATTTTGTTTATTTTAAAGTAGATAAGAATCTATTTTAGTATTAATATTGTGATTACTATTGTCGTGGAACAAAATGTAAAATAACCTAGACATTGTGAGTTATATTAACAAAAAACTAAGCCAATGTATAGAGCTGATAAAATGTGTGATTGTAAAAACATTTTTTCATCATTTTTCTGAATTGTATACATTCTAAAGATAACAATCCTACAGATGTATTTACATTTTTCTAACGCTAACATCATGTTTCAAAATAGGAAATGAACAAAATGAAAATGAACAAACTACCTAACAAACTTTGATTTTGATTTTGACTAATTTTGCATGAACCCGGAACAAACTATATCTATCTTGTTTTCAAAGAAATTATGTATTATAATCCGTCTCATTCTACTGTTATCTGTAAACAATTTTCGTCAAATATGATATAGCAAATGCACTGCACACTTTGTGCAAAAATTGTAAAATAAACTCTAGCAGCAGTCACCAGACAATGAAAGTGCCTAAAACAAACAAGTGATATGAAAACAAAGACAAATAATAGTGCATATTATAATTATTTATTTGCTCTTTGATTATTGCAGGATCAATTATTTAAAACATATTCAATTGATATATTTTTGAATACTCATCTGAAATGTTGCCCTTTACCTAATGTGTTTGTTTACTAGACCACCGCAACTTATTTTAAATTTAAATGAGTTTTTTTTAAATCATTATCAAGCTATTTGTATACAGCCATATTTTAAATTTCATGAAAGGTATTCTTTGCATTTGTCATCAAGCCTTATATCAATTTAATATTGTCAGCTTTTTCAAATAAACCCATTTTATTCAATAGTTATAAGTTTCACATTACATCTAGCCATCTTATTATTAGTAAAGCCAATGTGTATAAACGAAATGTGTTCTAAAATAACAGAAATTTAATAGATATTATTTCTATGAACTACAATTCTGTTAGAGTATTTAAATTTTGTAAAATAATACATACTAATAAAAATAAATGTTCTAATTTGTTTTTTTTTTTGTATTTGTTTGTAACCTGTGATTAGAAACAGTTTTGTTTTAGATTTATTTTACCAACATTTTAGAAGAGACAAATTACTCATATTTTATACTCTGGACTATTTAAATGATTTGCCTGGTATAGTTTAACTTTTTCTAATCTAAATTATGTCCATCATGGTTATAATAAGAGTTACCTCAGGGAATCCTCTAACTCTGTATAGCTACTTGATTCGGGCTTGTAACGAAAAATACAGTATCTGCCGTTCGATTGACGACTAACTATTTACAACATTACTTTTCAATAAACAGCCTTATAAATTCCAATGAAATATCTTCATTCAACAGATGAAAAAAATTTCACATTATGTACCGGTAAAATGGGGCGATTAGGGATTGAGAGGCGAATCGGGAAAAAACCGGGAAAATCTTTCGACGCTCAATATAAGTTTTATATTCGTTGCAAAATCTTCCATTTTTTGTAGTTTAATAGTAGAATGTTGAAAGTTCACAAAACAACTCTGAATATGCATGATAATAGCTGCTAACTTATAAAAAATCGCGTTTCAAATTAACTTCCTGTGGTGGTAATTATTTTAGTGCTAGAAACTTTGCTCTCTTTTATTTATTTGATAATAATAGAAGACGACTATGATTTATAAACGTTATTTAGTGTTTGAACCAGCATATATATTAAAGGTAAGTCTCAGTTGTTATTGGTTTTAATGTATTTGATTAAATAAAAATACATGTAAAAATCTGTTGTTTTTGGGGATATTGGGGACGTCTTAGGTACAAATAACAACGAAAAAGGGGTCAATTGGGATGAGAATACGTGAAATGGAAACGACCTAAGTATAAATAGGTACAGGTTTGTAGGGTTGTCTATGTAGTTATAACAATATTTTTTAAATTTGTTGGTAAAAATCTGGTTTATTCGAAGCGAAATTGGGAATAAGTCTTTAGTTGAAATAGATAAGCAATTTAATATAAGTAAGTCGATTTTGCAGAGACATGTAACAAGATCAATGAAATCTCAAGGTGGACAAAAATGTCCCAGTAATACATAATAAAATATTTAATATTTGTTCAGAGTAGGGGTATTCATCTGATTAATCCATGGAATAACCGACACACCTAATCTCTTAACCCAGATAGAAATATCAGCACTGTCGATTGCACCTATAATTGAGGTGATGTCTGCCATGTACTTTTGTCAGTTTTTCAGTTTTTTTTATTGATGATCACTTTGTTGGTGCAACTAAATAAATTAATTAATTAAAACTATATATAAAAATAAAAGTAGTACCAACCCTAGCAAATTTCTCATTTCGTCCCAATTAACCGCAATTTTCGGGTAAATAGGGATTACACCTATTTTTGCATTTTTTGCTTATACTGGAATGCTAGTTGCATAATTTTAAATTAGACAACAAAGATGCCCCTAAGACTCAATCATTTTGATCCTTATATAGCATTATATACATCAACAACTACCTTAAAATTGCTCATAAAGTTGGAATTTGTCCCTAATCGCCCCATTTTACGGTACGTAATAAACAAATAAAAATAATGCCGCTTTTTTCTTTTTATTGTCTCGCACGGATTGTGCATTTGCCACTACTAGTGTGGAAAAGGTAGGAAAGAAACCATTTTTATTTAGGAATCAGTTGGAAGGTTTGAAATTGGGAAAGGATACGTAATATGATTAGGTTAGGTAATAATATATGATAATACCTAAAAATGAATTAAAGATTAATTATATTATAATATTTGAGATTAATATATTATAAATAGATACGCAGTGTAATTTTACTTTTTTATTTGCTCATGTTTTATTTTTATTATTTCTATGAGTGACTGACTTTTTGTTAAAAATTTTAAGTGTATTATTTATGGCAGTGACTGAAACCTATAACCATCATAACACGAATACCGAAACTTTTCTTGCTACAAGAGGTTAATCTCAATCGTATCGATTAAATGGATGTCCTGTGAAAGTATTAAAATTTAATAGATTTAAAAACAATTTTAAATACCCAAAGGAACGGTCCTTTTTTTTTTCAGTATGGCAATCAACGTCATAAGATGTCATTATTGTCCGGCGATGTCCCATACGTTTCGATAATTTGGTTTATCGATACAACGGCATGCGACTTGCATATTTTTTTTATCGATACTTAACAATGCGTTGGCAGTACTGTATTATTATAGCTTCGCACGTCATTACGGATCCTCCTGATGCATTAACGGTGCTTTTAGGCACCACAAGCACTGGTCACCGTCTTCGTCGAACCCGTCGCTTGCGATGAATGGCTCGACGAGCGAATTAACCCACAGACACAACCCACTGAGTTTCTCGCCGGATCTTCTCAGTGGGTCGCGTTTCCGATCCGGTGGTAGATTCTGCGAAGCACTGCTCTTGCTATGGTCAGTGTTAGCAACTCTCCGGTTTGAGCCCCGTGAGCTCACCTACAAACGTTATGGCGAAGCTGAAATAGCCTTTCAAGGCTATCAACATAGGTAGGAAAAAAAAAAAATAGCTTCGTCGGAATATCATATTGTATCAAGTCTATTTCATATTTGGTCTATAAAATACTAAAATAGCTACCTAACAATCATGAAGATTAGAACTAAGGAGGACCATCTTACTATAATAAAGTGTCCGCCGAACGGGAGCCAATTAAGGTGGAGCCATAGTAACCAGAAGAAATATTAAAAAAAATGGTGCGCGTGCAAATTGATGCACGTGAAAGAAGTGAAACTTCTTTTGCAATGTGTATTATTGTGGTTCTCTTCAAATTATCTTTAAATGAAATTTATCTTGTAATAGGGAATACTGTGTATAAGAGAATCGACCTCTTCACCATTTATATACATATATTTTAAATTATATTCTGACCGCAGTAACCCCCTTACCTAATCCGGGTTCTGACCTCGGAGGGAATTGGACGCCTGGGCGAAGAGTGCAGGGGACTCGTTTAGTGGGTAGGGCCCCGAAAACATCCTTGGGCTCGCGGTCTCGCAGTCGCGAGAAAAATGTTATTTATTAAATCCTTCATTAAAAATAAAATATGTATAAGATAGCCAATATGTTACCGCCATCTACAGGAGCAATGTGAAATTAATAATAAGCCGTGTAGACAGCCGACGCCTGTAAGCAGAATTTGTATAAGAGAAACGACCTTGCTCGCTTTCTCCGTATCTCAAAGGTCGAGTGGTTCGTGAAACGCTCTATCTATGTTCTCACTCTCACTCAACCTAAATTGTAATCTTTTCTCTCTAGCCGCAAAGAAACTGTCGCGAATTAATTTTACTCTCAACGCATCTAAAGAAGTTTCACTTCAAAAACAGCGCCATAAACTACCACACTTCGGCTATGTTCCGATATACACTACACCTGTCACCGTCCTCGTCGAACCGAAGCGAGTTATTCCAAAGACACAGCCCACTGAGTTTCTCGCCGGATCTTCTCAGGGGGTCGCGTTTCCGATCCGGTAGTAGATTCTGCGAAGCACTGCTCTTGCTAGGGCCGGTCCGGCAACACTCCGGTTTGAGCCCCGAGAGCTCACCTACACGTTAGGGTAAAGCTGAAATAGCCGCTCAAGGCTATCGGCATAGGTAGGAAAAAAATATATAATATTCACTACGAGCCCGTGAACGTGCACGATCACGTGAGATATGACGTCAATTTAGTATATTGCGAACCATCGAAGTTTATAAGCGTTATTTTCATTAAAAAAAAACTTTATTATTTTTTGAAATTGCGTTTTCAAGTTATTTTCTTTATTACTATTTATAAGAATTAATGGCAGTAAGTATACTTTTAGGTCAAATTAAACATTGTGCACCAAACTAATAGGCTGCGGAAAAAGTCTTTTCGCATTATAGTATGTTTCAATGAACTTGTAATAAAATCTTTTTGGCTATACTATTTGTATCTGGCTAGTTTTGGTATAATTAAAAGTTTAAATTATAAAGAAGATAATTCCAAATTCAAATTAGGAAAATGTGTAATTTTTATTTATTTTTCGTACTGTCAAGACGAGTGAATCTAATGAAGAAATTCGATACATTTTAAAATTTTACTATAAAAAAGGTAAAAATGCAACGCAAGCCGCGAAAAAAAATTGCAATGTATATGGACCTAGTGCAGTGTCTGTGAGAAAAGCACAAATTTGGTTTAAGCGCTTTCAATCCGGAAATTTTGATGTCAAAGATGCATGTCGCTCTGGTCGGCTATTACGGATAAAACTGATGCCATTTTTGAAAAAGTGGAGTAAGATCGGCATATCAGTAGTTACGACGTAACTGAAGAACTGGGAATTGACCACAAAACATTTGAAAAAAACGGGGTACACAAAGAAGTACGCAAGATATTTGGGTACCTCATGATCTCACTGAAAGAAACCTGATGAACCGTGTACTCATTTGTGATTCTTTATTACGACGTAATGAATTCGAACCATTTTTGTAGAAGCTGATAACTGGTGATGAAAAGTGGATCACGTACGACAAGAACGTGCGAAAAAAGTCATGGCCAAAGGCCAGTCAGGCTTCACAGACTGTGGCGAAACCCGGGCTAACTCGCAACAAGGTGATGCTGTGTGGGTGGTGGGATTCGAAGGATATTATTCATTATGCGCTGTTACGACCAGGCAGGACCATCGATTCTGAACTCTACTGCGAACAACTAATGAGATTAAAGCAAGAAGTTGAGAGAAAGCGGCCGGAATTTAATCAACAGAAGGGGTGTGGTTTTTCATCATGATAACGCCAGACCTCACACATCTTTAGCCACTCAGCAAAAATTAAGAGAGCTTGGCTGGGAGGTGTTAATACATCCACCGTATAGTCCGTATAGTACCTTCAGATTTCCACCTGTTTCGGTTTCTTCAGAATTCTTTAGGCAGTGTCAGGTTAACATCACGAGAGGACTGCCAAAACCAATTGTCCCGGTATTTTGATCGGGAAGCCCCAAAATTTCTATAGCAATGGGATCATGTCCCTACCTACAAGATGGAAAAAAGTTATCGAACAAAATGGTACCTACATACTTTAGTTAAATGTAAATAAACTATATTAAAAAATGTTGTGAATTTTCTTAAAAAATGCGAAGAAACTTTTTCCCCAACCTATTATTTAATGCTTAATGACTTAAAACCGAATTATTGAAATGAGGTTGCACGGATAAAGTGATCACGTGATCAAAGCACTGAGAGGACCTTACTTCATGTTCACAGTAGAAAAATTGTGACGATTTATGACGTCTATATTTCCTTAGGATAATGCGACTGTATACTGTCAGTCCATAACGGAACGAATTTTTCCCCAGTAAGAATATTTAACACTGCTCACAGTATATATCAGTACATAGCCCTCAATGTACATAGCCATCAGTACATTGCCAATTCACTCTAAAATTGCTTTAATCATATAATTTCCACTTCTTACACTAGCACTATTTCGGTGAGTCTTTGAACAATAGCTTACTGTTTACTGGTTGACACTATTTCAAATTGTCCCTAAACGAGATTTATTTATTTTTTTGTCAGGAGGAAATCGCCGGACTTCCGCCCTTCACTGGGGATAGAGGGCGGGGTATGTCGGAGTCAAACCGACTAAAACCTCCTGTCGCTCAACAACCAGCATCCAAACCTCGCATGAGACAGACCTCATGAAAAGGCAAAAGGGGGAAAGTGAAGCGTTTAGTGAGTGCGGAGCACATCTCTCCCATCACCCTCCCCTTCGGGACGCCGGACTGGCGGTCGTCGGCGCCACGACCACCAACCCTCTCGGTCGGCAGGCTGTCCGAAGCCCGCCTAGATGGCACCGGTTGGTCTATCCTACGGAATACCCCGCTGGGTCAGAACCAGCGTGGGTAGCCGGCCTTCCATCACCCGGATGCTCATGCATAAAAGGCGTGCAGAGCAGCTTGTACGTCGTCTTCTTAGGCCCCCTTCGCCGGGCCACCAGGCCAACATGTCAGAGAGACCCGAAACACCAAAACACTTAGAGGGCCAGGGCTTGGGCGAGATCCGCCTCCCTGGCCCCCGCTCGACGGCGGCGGGCCTGTGCGTCTCTCACGCGCCCCGCCGCCTCCTTCTGCGAGATGGTACACTCGCAGAAGTCGAGCATCGCCTTCCACGACTCGTCGTCACCGAGCATCGATGCCACAACACTTGGCAACGACAAGTCGTTTCCTATTTTTGCGACAAGGACACGGCGCCACCCCTCCCATGCGGGGCAGGCGACGAGCGTATGCTCTGCCGTGTCCAAGTCGCAACCACAATGGTGGCACTCTGCCGTCGGCTCGGCTTCGATCCGGTGCAGGAACTCACCGAAGCAACCATGCCCAGTGAGTACCTGCGTGAGCCGGAAAGTGAGGCGTCCTCTGTCACGATTCACCCAATTCACAAGAACTGGGCGAATCGTCTCGACGGTCCTACGACCAGCAGAAGGATCGGCCAGCAGCCTGGACCATGACTCCAGCACGGACCGCCGAGATTGGGCCCTCCGCGCTCTGACCACACTAAGGCTGGGACGCGCCACTCCCCGGGCACGAAGGTTAGCCCGCCACTGATAGTCAGCGGCGAGAGCCTCCGCCTCCAGTACCCAAGGCGGCGTCCCAGCCATCCCTAAACGAGATGGTACACAATTTTATTGCAAGACCAGACATAACAGAAAATATTCGAACAAAACTTTTATCGACTAAAATAGTAAGGAAAAGTAGTAGTAGTAGTAGTAAGAAGTAGTAAGGAATTCTTTTTTTCTCAAAAAAAGGAAATTTAGTGGACTTCAATTTTCGTCATTCCTGTATGGTAATGTCTTGTTATTCTTGTATTCATACTAATATTATCAATTTATAGTTTAACTAGCGACTCGCCCTCGCTTCGCTTCGGAAACTGTAATTTATTATTGATTTCTCCACTATTTAATGGATGTTAATATACATATAATATACCTTCCTCTTCAATCACTCTATCTACTAAAAAAACCGCATCAAAATCCGTTGCGTAGTTTTTAAAGATTTAAGCATACATAGGGACAGAGAAAGCGACTTTGATTTATACTATATAATGAAGTACATACATACATACTTGAAGTTAATTTAAATTATCACTTTTCCTATTCCGTGATTTCCTCGCAGGGGATTACAAGTTTTACCAATACAATACTGTGTAGTACCAATGACTGATAATTTGATACAAATGTCACAGACTACCTACACAGGTACAAGCTAACATGGCCTTGCTCCGATAAAATAAAATTAAATGCAGATCATGCAGATGTCTTGTATGTCTTGACCTACATATTGTAGGTAGGTACTACATAAGTACCGAGGTACCTATATCTTCTTAATTTTTTGGCTCCGTCACGGTTTGTGCATTAACCAGCGTCAAGTAATAAGATTTTTATAATTCGCCGTTTTAATTATTTATAGTTTATAATAAATACATATAATAAAATCGTTAGGTACTGGTCGCTGCCTGTACATGGAAGATATCCCAGAAAAAATTGTTATTGGGGGCTTTATGAACGCAATAGAACACAAAATAATGATTTTTAGAATTTTTGTCTGTTTGTCTGTGCGTTTGTGCACGCTAATCTCAGAAACAGCTTATCCGATTTAAATGTGGTTTTCATTTATTTTATGTGGTAAGCTTTACTTAACATTTAGTGTATGTTTCATGTCAATTGGTTCATAAATAAAAAAGGTGTACCAATTTTCATCAATCATCATCATCAATACATTTATAATAAAATCGTAACTGGTCGCTGTCTGTACATGGAAGATATCTCAGAAAAAAATGTTATTGGGGGCTTTATGAACGGAACAGAACCCAAAATAATGATTTTTAGAATTTTTGTCTCTTTGTCTGTGCGTTTGTGCACGCTAATCTCAGAAACAGCTTATCGGATTTAGATGTGGTTTTCACTAATTTATTGTGGTAAACTTTATGATAAGTTATGTTTTATGATAAGTACGTGCTTACCAAACAACGTTGTGTTAGTAGGTACTAGTTATTGTAAGAACGCCTCGAAAAAGATCCAACCTCTCTCAGTGCAGCAGGAATGCTAAAAGGATGAGATTAGTTCGATCACAGGAATCTGAAGGAAATCATGAGGCAAGACTCAGGTTTGTCCATCGATCGTGAATCTCATGCATTATCGCTTGAGTCTGAGACCTTTACTGATAGGAAAATTCGTCTGAGCTCTCAGAGGGTTCGGACAGCAAATGCCCGGTCTCAGGAGACACTAGAAGATCGGGAAGCACGACTCACTGCCGATCGCGTTTCCAGTGAGCCTATGTTTCGTGATGATAATAAATAAAGCCCAAGGTCAGATGCTAAAAGTAGTAGGTGTAGATCTTAGTGTTAACTGCTTTTCACACAGTCAACTCGGTCACACGGCTATGTAGCTCTGTCACATGTTAGCAATCCTAGCAACCGGTATGCTTTGATCCCCGATGGCTATACGTGTAATGTCGTATATAGAGAAGCATTACTTTAAATTAGATTTTTGTAAATACCCAAATGACGGTGTTCATAAACCAAAAGATATGTCCTAAAACTGTCGCCCTAAGTCGCCATTCCACGCGGACGGAGTCGCGGGCACAGCTAGTGAGTAATAAAAAACTAATCGAGACATAACATAAATTATTGAAAACGAATTAAATGTACCAATGAGATGATATTGGATGAAATGTCTTAGTAAAATGGTGGTTATTTACTGAGACTTTTTCAATGGACTTTTTGGACGATCCAGAGAAATAACTAAGAAGTTACAAAGGCTTTGTTTCATTTTCCCACATTTGTGCACTTCCACAGATACTAAACAGTAAATAAACCACCATTATTACACATTTAAACCCGAATAAACACTAAATAGACAAAATGAAACAACTCGCACAACTTAACTCCTCACGTTCCCGCCAAAAAGTCCAACTACGTAATTCTAGAACAGCTCAAACTAGGGATAATGGATGTACAAAAGTATCGATTTAATATATCGAACCTTTTTGATGTTGACATTTTCAATGAAAAATATCGATCAATGCGATTTAAAAGTTGTTGTGTTAGAAATAGTTGTATTAGTATTAAAACAACTATTATTAAAAAAATTAAAACACTTAACTGAAGTCAATAACACCGATAAAAACTACACGATGATGCTAAAAATCAAACCCGCAAATAATTAATTTGCGTAATTAGTGGTAGTATAACATGACGTCTTGTTAGTCCACACCACCCCCCTGCCTATTTCTGCTGTGAAGCCTTAATGCGTTTCGGCTAGAAGGGTAGGGTAACTGTTGTACTGTAAACTGACCTTAGAATTTATCTCTCAACTTGGGTAGCGGCCTTTACGTTGTTTATGTTTATAGGTTCCAGTAATCACTGAAAACCACCAGGGTCGTGAGCTCATGTACGTGACACTTAAGTAATATAAAATAAAAATACTATTTCTTAATTATTCATGAAATTAAATCATCTGTTTATACTTTTTTGTACTAAAAATTTAAAATCGATTTTTCAAAATATCGAAATATAAAAATACGCCCAAAAATATCGATCTTTAGAATTCAAAAGATTGAGACATCGATATACGGTATCAATTTGTTTTCGTTATGCCAAAAGAATAAGAATATGCAGTAGTGAGTAAATAGTAGATACCTACACGTATGTCTATCTCGATGTAGTATGTTGTACCTACCTGCTCTACTTTACTGAAAGTAGCATTGCATCCATCACAGATTATTGGTTGCGCTTTGCGCAGAATCCATCGGGCATCGCTCGATATAGATTTTTTCTCAGTTGAGGTATCCATATTCAAGATTGAAGCTGTCTACCGTGTTACTCCTAAAAAGTGTCTTTGTTCTGTAAAAATGAGTAGTTCATTTGTGAAAGGACTTCATTGTGTATGTGGGTAAGAATCTCGCGAAATGATATAAATTGGCAGGTTTCAATAAACTCATTTGCAGCACATAATTACTAAATCGTCAGTAGATTTAAAGACAGGATGGCGCACAAAGTGGTGGCGGAGATTACTTCGTTGTACGATACCTCACCAGATTCCCTACTTGAGATATGTTTGGAATATTTAGTTGAACATCTTAATATAGTAACAGATTTGGATCATACAACTCGCTGGCGAAAACTCAAGGAAGACATAATACTTCCTGCTGAAATATGTGAAAAATTTCTAGAAATATACCAACGAATCAATCGCATTAACGACAATATTGCTAACTTGTTTCGCGATCGATTTCGTACACGCCTCGACGCCATAAAACTACGTAATTCCCGCATCACTGATGAGGGATTTCGATTCCTTATGGAGCACAAACCGCAGGAAGTTGAACTCATACAATGCGAATATCTCTCTCCAATGTCACTGGAAACAATAAACAGAAACAGCAGGAACTTAGTCTCTCTCAAATTTGGTCCTGCCACACATGTCCTAGCTCAAGATGAAAGTGCGTATAAACAACGCGGCTTCATAATTTTTGCACCTAGACTTCGGAGACTTACTATACACAAGCGTGGACTTGCTATTTTCCACTTACTGCTCCTTAAACCTCTCTCCAATCTGACACACTTGGATCTCTCTGAGTGTGCATCAGCTGGTTCAATATGGGCATTAACTCGATTACGAAATCTGAGATCTTTAGTACTGCACAGTGTGCACTGGACCAAAGATATCACTGATTGGATTATTGGTCTTCGAGCTTTACAACATCTGGACATATCACAGTCAAATGAAAGACATGGAAAATATCTTAATCCAAATGAAGTGCTGACAAAGTTAGTGACAAGTTTACCTGCTCTGGTTTCACTTGACATATCAGGCACAAATTTAGCTGGAACAGGGGCTGCAACATTGTCAACTGTCAATGACAGCACCTCTGATAAAATGGAAACTGAAGTACGCTGTGATATACCAGGCCTAGTGTCCCGTGTGAACAACCCTCTGAATTTTCTCGGATTGTATGGAACACATCATGGTGCGTGCAAGAGACATGATATACCCGCTAAAGTGGTGAGTATTTATAGATTGTAAAGAGAGTAACTGTGCTTTGTATTTTGCACTCGAAACAGCAAAATTACTTCTTTTTCACTGAAACAAAAATCTAATACTACCTCGTCCTTAGTAGTAGTATCTTTTTATTATTTTTTCTTCATCCAGCATTCATCCACCCTGTGATTGTCATTTTAACTATTTTTGAATAGAATCTGCATGGGTTGGTACTATTGTTTATTTATAACATGTATTTCCGGTCTGAAAGCTGAGGATAACTTTATTCCAATGAAATTGAAAATTTAGCCTTTTCTCTCAACAAGAATAAGAGTATTGATCTACAATAGCGGTCGGGGAACCAGGGTAAATTAACCCAAATGGGGTATAATGAAATTTTGGGGGGTAAAAATGAAACTTTTGTGAGTAAAAAGTATATATTTTCATTTTTTTTTGTTTTTCGCCATGGGGTAATATCAACTTACAGAAAAATATTTTGGGGTAATAATTAAAAAAGTTCCCTGACCGCTGATCTACAAGCAATATGCCTTACTCACTACTACTTAAATCTTGTAATTCATTAGGCTATTTTATTACTATGGTTTTTGCAGAGATTTTCCAAGCATGGCTGTCTCCATTGCTCTATGGTTGACTTTAAGCCTCCTGATAATGTTCATTATGAGCAACCACATCTTCCTGTCATATGTACTTGCAACACAAGCTGATCAAAAACTTTCTTTTTGAGATACTGTTATCTGTTGATGAGTAATATCTGCTGTTGCTCATTTGAGTTGTATTTGACAATTATTGTAACTATTGTAATTATTGTGACTTACCATCACCCTGACTATTTCTGTCATGAAGAATTAATAAAATTGAATAGTGAAGCAGCTGTTATACTATTCTTAAGAAGGATGTTGGCATCCACGTTGTAATATTTATAGGTTTTGGTAACCATTTAGGACCAGGTTATAAGCTTATTCAGCTGCCAATGTACTAAAAAACATTGTCTCTTGTACTTGAGACCATATCTATATATGCTAAGAAAGCTGGCAGCTGTTCTGGACTTACTACTACTAGAGGACTATTCATGTAGCTGATTTGTGTAAGGCCTGTTAAAAAATAAATAAATCTTCTTTGTTTAAGATTTCTGGTGATGCCAATGAGAAGCAGATTTTAATTGCAGCTGCAGCATATATGGAAAGGCCAGTAATGCTGACCCGTGTTTTAAATGATCTATATTACCTGTTTAGATATGAAAATAACACAAATGTGTTACGGGCCTTGAATGTTGTGCTTGATGCCATGGATAGACATGTGTCTGAAAAACACATCCAAATATCTGGAAGGTAACAATTTAAAAAAAAATATGCTTAATATTGCTTATGCACTTGTTTCCATGACTTATTTGTTATTATTTTTACAGTGCCACCTTGTTTTATATTGTGAAAGGCAAAGAAAAAGAACGTATTGGAATTAAGATGAAGAAGCGTATAATTACAGCACTGCTGGATGGCATGGATGCACATCTTGGTGATGACACCATGATGAGGAATGGATGTCTTACTCTCTGTGAATTCAAGATTCCTAATGATGTGGTACAAAGTCGAATGTGTAATTCAATTAAAATATTATATCAAACATACAATTGAATTACACTATTTTCTTTAATTTCAGCTTTTTGAATATGAACGAGCTGTGCAGATACTCCTAAGCGGTGTTACTGATGTAAATCAAGAAGGCTCTGTTCAACGGATTGCTATATATTTACTCAACTCACTCGCATGCCAAGTTGATGGAAAGCAAAAAAGATTCCTTGGGAACCAAGGCGCAATTGGGGTTAGCTTTTAGAACATACTATATTTCAAAATGTGTACTCGTATTCTTCATTCGTAAGGATGTAATATCATCTACGCATCCTATTTGTACTTAATTTTACAATATATCTAGGGTCGGCAGACTAAAGCACATAAGTCAAAATTTTCAATTTATTTTTTATTACATCATCGGTTTACATTTTGCTCAACACACAATCTGACTAAAGCACATAAGTCAAACTCAAGTATTTCATGGCGTATTCAAGCGGCGTTCTGTATCAACCTTATCAAATCCTAATATAATCAAACGAACTAAAAAACATAACTGGACTTATGTTCTAAGGAACACCATAAGTACAAAGTTATTAACGTAAGAAGTCTGACTTATGTTATAAAGAACATCAAAATGTAACATTTCTTTAGAGAAAGTGGTTACTTAAAAATATTTATAACGTAAACAATACTTCGGTAAGTGGTTTTAATTTACTAATGTTGTCGATTGTGCACAGTTTGTTGGTTAGTTGTGTGTGAGTGCTTAAGTATTTTAATTATTTAAGATGAATATTCAAAGAGGCAAGAAATTCGTTGAAATGGTGTTATCCACTCATCTGGAAAGCAATGAAGGTATATTTTCACATATCTTCAAAATTATGATTTGCAAATTACGTAATTATATCAATATTATATCATTATAAATAGGTCTTGTCCTTTTTTAGAAAATGTAAATCAGCAGTCGGTTTTGAACACAGAGAACCTAGTAGTAGACGATCCTATACCGTCAACATCATCAGGTCAAGTCAGTAGTTTAACATACTATTCTGTACTTGACTTCTCTAGTGATGATTCTGTACGAGATCCATGTTATAAATTACCGAGACTTCCAATCACATCGAGTTCAAGTACTTGTGATGAAATTTCAATGAATCCTAATGTGTCTCCAAAAAAGAGTATACGTACTATAAAAAGAGAGAAAAAAAATACGTAACTTAGGACAGGCATACAAAACTTTAAAGGGAAATGTATATCAGATCGCACTATGCAAAAAAAAAATTGAGAAAAAACAAAAAAAAGCCCGCTGAGTTTGTTTCGCCAGTTCTTCTCAGGACTGTGGTTTTTTTGGAACCGGTGGTAGAGTTAACATTGTTATTTATATTTTGACATTCAACAAGTGTGTTATACTGACATCTAAGTTGAAATAAATGATTTTGAATTTGAAAGAGTTTGCAGAATGAAATGTAAAGAACGTATACCTTAACTGATAGGCATGCCATATTTACAGAATATTGGCAAATGGGGTCATATGCAAAAAGATCTGCATACTTGGCGTCTTTAATGGAAATTCAAGATAAATCTAAGCAAAGAATACGAGCTATTGAACCTGAAAAGCAAAAGCTTAGAATGAAGACATAAAAAGACTTTTTTACTGTGCATGGTAAACGTGAACCTGTCTGCCGAGGATGTTTAATGAAACCGTTAGATGAAAGTGACAATTTTATAAAGACAGTTGCTATGAAAAGGAGATCATCCATAGGGGGTTCTCAAACTGATGATATAATATCTATACAGCCATTACCCATATCCATCGAGAAAAAAAAAGATTTAATTTCGCTGCTCCCTTTAATACTAGATATTTTCCATGAATTTTAAATAAGTCTTCCCACTTTGGAAACTTTACGAAATACTGATCCAGATATTTTAGAACTCGATGAAGAAGAAGAATTTTAATTAAACATTAATGTTATTTATATTTATGACTTATATTATTATAATATATATCTTAATTGTTGATCTTTTTCACTTAACTCATACTATTATTGCGTTCCTTATAACTTAAGTCATCTAATTATTAAATAATCACATTTACTTTAAAATATTTAATTTTAATAATAAGTTAGTGTTATAGACTTATATAATTCAAATAAACATTATTAAGTTTGTTAATGTATAAGGTTCTAAATAGTTTTTTTTAATTCCTGTAAAGTAGCGTTTTTTGACTTATGTGCTTTAGTCTGCTGACCCTAGATATAATAATACAGATTTCACGTAAATCCAATTGTTTTGGTGAGCAATATTTTTTCTCAGTTTTGTTCGTGTCATGACAGTTGCATAAGAATACCTCCTATATTTTATATTCATAAAAGTGATCTAAAGAATTGTGCAGTAAATTTTATCGAGATTATAAACTAAATTGACCCAGAACGAACGAACTCAAAATACTAAAATCCCCAAATACAAATTAACGTGGATCTTATCTGCTTGTACATGTAACGAGTACATGCATTTTAAAAAGTGGCAACGCGAATCTGTTGATTTGATTACAAATTACTGCGATTTCGATTAAAATATAACACAGCAAAAGCGAAAAGTACACAAAAGTAAATCAAATACCCTTGACAACGAGTCATCGAGCTCCTGGGAACAGGATACCGACCGTTTTATTTTTTCGAAAATGCCGCGACATTATCTACTAAATGCAGTTAACGTAACTTCATTACGCGGGACCCGAATAAGGGACAAACTAACTATAGAATATACACTAAAACTCAACGATTAATCATATCTGACATCAGGCATTGTGATGTTAGAATATAGATTTTATGTAATGATTCAAATACTGTTTTTGGATCTGATAAAACTAATACACGTAAAAAACAATTTAAGAACGACTTCCATGCAATTTTTCTCAGTTTTGAAAAAAATATTAAAACAATATTTCCTTTTTGAAATTTTTATCAGTTTCCTTTGAAATAAAGTTATATAAAATTAAATTTACCCTCGGACCTTTGTTTTGATAGAGAAGTAAATAAAGTGATGCATTTCACATCACAGTTTCAACTGATATTGTTTAAATTCAATAAATGTCAATTGAAGTTCATATTGAGATGCGAATTTTGAACAAGGGGTCCGTAAACAGCATGTGTGAAATCCTTGAAAAAGAAGAAATTTGAAATGTTTGATAATGAATTTACATGAGGGCTATTATTGAAATGAAATAACATAATTAAGTAAAGTGGATAAAAGTCTTCTGGGTTTTGTGTTTTTTCTTTTTTTGTAATATTGAGAGGTACTATAATTATATTGAAAACTATAAGCCCCCCATTCTAACTATTCAATCATGCTTCTTACGTTTATTTGTTTGCATAAAAGAGGATTAATTTGCGTTTTAATCATATTTTAATTTCGGTCATCGTGTTTATTAGACGAAATATTTTAGTATTCTCAATTATTTAACTGCAACTTTCTTTACGAATACATAAAAGGTTATTGTTTTCTAAATTTCCTTATTTGTTGCGTATTAGTGCGCATTCACAGTCCACAATATGGCCCTAGCGCGGTTGCGACGATGGGTGCGAAATATCAAACATAGTATTTAGGAAATAGCCGTTTGCACCCACAATGCAATATTTAATAAAGCTGGATTTAAAGTATCGGCGTAACTTAGTGCAGCGATGGGCGCGATAAGCAGGGCGTAGCCATGATCTTTTTAAACGTTTAGATGTATTTCAGGTGCTTCAAACTACGAACGAAGTTTTATTAGTTAGTTTGTACGAATATTTATGGCATGGGATGGCATGGGATGTGTTATAAAGATGCTTTTCCACGAAGTAAATCGTTGCGCAGTGGATGAAAAAGACGATTTCGTATTTTTAAACTTTGCGCACGTAGTTCGCGCATATACCGTATTGATTGGCAGTCGGGGGTGGGAGAGGGGGTGGGAGGGGAGTGGGGTGTTTTCCGTTAGACCTGAAATACATATAGGTGCTAAAACAGCTCCCGGCGCATTGTACCTTCACGTCCTGCATATTGTTTTTTTCCGTCGACACGCTTGCGCTATGCTTACGCCGATACCGCTTTTTATATAAAATCCAGAATTTAAAACAAACAAATTTAAGTCAATTTCGAAAATGATAACATAGAAAAACAATTCAGATCTGCTAATGGGAGTTGCTCTTTAGGCTTTATGACGTCATCGATATTATAGAGCGGACGTGCTAGGGAAATGGGAATATGAACTACCATGTAAAAATATCAGTTTTCCCGTAATTTTAAAACTAATATTCATGATGCTCTCAAATAAAAACTTATTATTGAATGGTATACATATATATTTAAATAGTTATAAAACCGAAACAGTTATCAGTACATGCAATCGTTACATAATGATAATATTATTGCAATAAGTATTTAATTCACGATATCTTCAATATGGGTGGGCTTATACTTTGTTTGATTAGAACAATACATTGAATTTTCACTATTGAATGTTTCAAAAATTTAATTTTCAATAATTGAATGTGCCTTGCAAAATACACTGACTATAGAAGCTACAACTATAAGGGAACTCGAAGCCATTTAATAAGATCGTACGATTTCTGTAATCACGTATTATATTCGTTACTGTGCGCTTTAGTAAATTTGTCATTGAAGACGTATCTTCGTGATTAACGTAGCGTTCGACAGGTCAGCTTACATTAGAATATCAACGGTGAAAAAAAAATATGGCAGATATCGCTTGCGGGAAATGGTCATTAGAATGCATAGTAAAAATAATTATCAACCTAAATTTGAACGTTATTTTATAACATGACTAGCTGACCCGGCAAACGTTGTGTTGCCTTAAATAAGATTTCTAGGGAAATTGTACTGAGAAAAAAAAACCTCACTTAACCACATAATACCTCATTATAAACAAAAAAAATATCCAAAAAATTAAAATAAAAAGTAAATGTTTGGGGTAGACCACCCTTTTCACTTAGGGGTATGAAAAATAGATAGTAGCCGATTCTCAGACCTACTGAACATACTATTGATACACAAATAAAACCAATAAAACATGGCTGAAAAATGTATAGTATTGTATAGCTCTCAAATATATTAAGTGTATAATCTATGATGTATAGTGAGTAAGTAAGACAGGAGACCGGCTTCGTTCTCATCCCTACTACGTGATGTTTGCTGGATGAGTGGTGACATCTGGCGGGGATAGCTGATCGATTGATAGTTGATCAGTAGTCGACCGGCGAGGGCGGGAGACCAAATTCAATTTAAAAAAATCATAATTAAAGGAACTTGAAATTATAAACTCTGAATAAGAATTTATCGTACTACAATTATAATATTTGATTGCCATCTTGCAACCTTATCGCGGATCTGTGCATAGAATAAAAAAACGGGATGGAAAAATAGGGGTTGATCGTATAAGAGTGAAAATTGAGAGTAATATGATTTTTTTAATTTTAAGTCATGACAAAACAAAATAAAAAACTTGCCAAAAAATTAAAGTTTATAATTAACAAATAAAAAATAGGGGTTGATCATAGAGGGATGAAAAATTATGAGTAACATCAGATTTTTTATTTTAATTCATGACAAAATAAAAATAAAAATGAAAATCTTGCCAAAAAAATTAAAGTTTATTAATAAATAAATAGCAAATAAAAAATAAGGGTTGATTGTAGAAAGGTGAAAATTTAGGGTTGTATGTATTTTTGTATGTTGTATCATAAAAAAATAAAAACAAAAATTTTCGTCTAAAAAATAACAAATAAAATTTAGGGGTGGACCACCCTTAACATTTAGGGGGATGAAAAATAGATGTTGTTCGATTCTCAACCCTGACCGATATGCACGCTAAGATTCACGAAAATCGGTCGAGCCGTTTCGGAGGAGTATGGCAACGAAAACTGTGACACGAGAATTTTATATATTAGATTAAGTTCGTACCTGACATTGCTGCCAATTAGATCAAGGTAAGAATTTGTAACAATGTAGTGTTTCTAAATAGTTAACTTTGTATATTCTAATGTTTGTTGCTCAAACAGTTAATTATGGAACGGTAGTATTCATTCGAATGTTCAAATATAAATTTGTAAGTAAATGTTTTTAGATTAACGATTCGTGCAATGCTTTGTTATGTATACCTACGTGGTTAAATCTGCAATCGATTTAGAAACAAATATTTTACTGTGCACGCGTATTAAGGAATTTTAATTTGAAACATATTAAAAGAACGAAATGTTTCAATTAGTTATAAAATTTAAATCATCCGACGCGTTTTATGAAGTTACATGAAAATAAGACGTTGCAATGTCTCCTTCTACGAAATCGGTAATGAATCTCCAAACCCTATCATATTACATCAAACATTCCTCCGCCTTAGGTATCTTTATTACTATTGGCTGATTTTGTTTTATGTTGGGCACACGACCGGTTGAGTTAAACTATTTGAATTTTTTGAATAATAAAACAGATCGTGTCCTCGAAATTTAGATTCCACAGTTGCTTAATAATAACAAATAGTAAAATTTTGTTGTCGAATCAATGCAGGCCTGTGTTATGAGTGAACGCGATAAACCGGATTCCGCGTTATCGCGCTCATAACCAATGACAGAACATGTTAGTTCGTCGCTTAAACGATATCCATCATTTTAGAGGTGCCCGATAGAATACTGGACGTAAGGCATGTAGTGCTGTTTTCGGAACTCTCCGTTTCTCGATATCGGAGGTCAAATAGTCACGATATCAATCTGTTTAAAATTGTATTCGTTCTAGTATGTTTTAAGATTTTAATTTTTTAATTTTATTTTACTTCGTTGTGACTATTCGAAAAATAGTAAAATGTAACCTTATTTGTAAACAATTTTTGCCGAAATAGCTAGACGGAACTTCTCGACCGGAAACCATGACCAAAATCATAATATAATTGTAAACTTGTTTCAAACTATTCATTATATTTGAAAGAATTACCAGCCTTAAATTCGGACTTTGCTATTACCCAGGCCAAGACGAAGGCTATGATAGTAGATAGGGCTGAATAACTTAGAACCGATGTACAAAACAGCTATTATAATTGCGAAGTTTTACATATCTACATCTACCGCGACTCTAAAATCTGCAAGCCTGCACTGGAAGACTGCACTGGAAGATGTGATGACGAGATCCATCACTAGGTTGGCAGTGGAGCAGCTGAGGTCAAATTGATGGAATGTCTTATGTTTCCAATCTTTCTCTATGGAGCCGAAATCTTGTCTCTAAGACTGCATGATCACCGTAAAATAGATGTCCTCGAGATGTGGTGGTGCTGGAGACATCTAAAGATCCCGTGGACGGTATTCACCATCAATGCATCCATCTTCAAAGAATTCTTTATCAAAGACTGACTTTCGTAAACTGTGCAATTGCGTATTTTAAACTTCTTTGGTCACATCCAGAAAAAGGAGACGATGAAGATACTAATCGTTCAAGGCCAGTAAAGGAAGAGATCACTCGGCCGATCACTAACCCATTGAACTGACCTAATAAAAAAAGAAAGTCAACCAGAACTGCCAGGTCTGGAAGCGCAACGCTAAGAAGGCAATCCTCGACTATTGGGGACCTAACGAATGCTTCTGGGTGCATATCGTCAGCTTAACCACGACGACTCTGACAAGAGTCTCCGACTAAGAAGAAAAATATTTGTAAGATTTCTCCTTGCGGCCTTGAAACATTGTACCATATATGTACGTGATTTGAATAAGATGATGCCACATTTAAGCTTTCCTGAAACAATTTCCCAGATAATTAATTACAAAAATATATGAATATGTATAAAATTGAATTTTGCAGCTTTAAACAACGACACGTGAGCTCGCGTGCTCATTATAGCCAAACGATATATTGGTAGTAGGTACTATTGGCATATATGACGGTTTCTCTAATTTATAAGCGTAAAATCAATAATTAATACTAATACACCTCAACATTATCGTTGTGGCTCACGGCGGCAGTGTGTTTGAAATGTTATGATTGCGTTTACAATTTGACTGTTTTGCAATATTAACATTGCATCGGAGGATAGCTAAAACAATGATTTGTGATGGTGTAAGCTTGATGTTTCGAACAAAAAAAAATATACGAAAATAAGAAAAAAATATTATTAGATGAATCGTTTTATGGTTTTTTTTTATTATTTTAGAAAATGTTGAACTTGATATCGGATCGCCTGAATCGGCGCATATGCGACGATGTTTTGGAGGTGGCCTGGTCCACTATGTGGAACGTTACTGACGAAACGCCACAGAATTGTCAAAGATTCCTCGAGAACCGCGGCATGGAATTTTTCCTGGCATGTCTTAAAGTAAGTATCTAAACAAAATGTGTACAGTCGATATGGAATTTTGCTTTGAAAAAACTCGAACTGGATGTAAGTTTCTGTTCTTATGTTATGCCTTGTATACATAGAATTTTTCGTGGTCTAACGTGAAATGAGTGGAGTGACAAAGAGAACCGAATTTTCATAATAACGTTACAAAAAAATGGTATAAGCTAAACACAACTTTTCGAAGCGGTCTATCCGCCTGTTCGTGAAATGTTTGCAATGTATTTTATCTAGGTAAATGAATTAACGTGAACGAAAATGAATTGACGTGCTTTTAACACACGTGCTTCGTGCTGTCCTAAATAATCTGCTCAATAAATATAATGTACAAGTATAGTTCCGACAGAGGTTGTTATTTTGATTATTATTATTGACCGTTATTATTATTGATTTTGACTAAGCTGCATGGACGATATATTAAGTAGTTGAGCTATAAAGACATGAATCTCCTTATTTGATATGGATTTTTTGTAAAATTGTTTAATTTGACAAGGACAATAATGTCTTTTTACAACAGTTTAGGTACAATTGAGTGAATTTATAATTGACACAATTAATATTTTCCTCATTAGATATTTTAAGATAGGGAACAAATTCGTAGTAATGATCATTGAAGCGGTTTTTAATTATAGGCGATCGATGACTTGTTCATGGGTAGAAACACGTTTTACTAAGTAGGGTGTTGATTTAAATGTTGCATACATATAGGAAAAAATAATATGTCGTCTCGTATGGTTCAAAAATGTGTTCTTCGCGTTGAAAAGAATGTAGTAAGTCTTAAACATTCATGAACAAGCGTAGTCTATTTTCGAATACTTCGATCTATAGTTGCGACATTGATAAATAAATAATGTTTTGGTAGGCCATAATTGGACATTCGTATTGTGGCTATATTATAAAAAAAGGAATTGCGTCTTCTAATACCCACGATCAAAAGTTAAACCAAATGCTCCTTCAGTTGTGTTCTTCGGGTCAGAGGGTCGTGACCACTTTCATCCATGAGTTTCATCCTCATTACGTTGTGCCATCTCGTTCGTCTCCTTTGGGCGACTCTAAGTATCGGAAATGGTATAATCGAGGGCAGTGTAGATCTGGTCAGACTAACGCGCTGCATTGCACACCGCCATCTTTGTCCCTTCTACTTTGTCAGTAATCATCAGTTTTTTCAAGATTGGCTCGTGTCTTTCCTGGCAATGTGTCCGTTGTAATGTAGGTTTCGTTTGAGGCTAATGCGCACTAGAAGATGTTTTATGTTCAGACGTTGTTCCTGCGCAGGTGGAGCTTCGGTAGCATATTTCACACCGTCCGGTCCAACAAGTTGCTTTCTTTGTCTACTATATTCAGGGTGACAGGTGTTTTCTTGGGAATATAGTCGCCGTGGGTTCCGACGTCTTTCCGGATCAGCCTTTCAGAGATGATTTAGATCTTTCTGTCGTCTGGTGACCACTTCTGGTTACACAGGATATTAGGTTGCTCAATCGCCGCCTGATGTTCGGTGTTGGCTTTTTACGGTTAGTATACGGGAGGTACCTCTCCTGACCAACCTTCTTTTTAAATCCGGAGTTGCCGCCACCAAGGGCAGAGTTAATTTCAAATAAATTAGATCAAACTGTGAGCTTTTCTAATTCTGAGCTTAGCTAATATTAGCTAACGCTCAGCACACGGCCTTATTATATTCGAAAACCAAATTTGTGCTCGGCTTGTATGTAGCGACGTATGTGCGTAGAGTCCGAACTAAAGTCAACAGCACTTCATAGATTTTACGCTTGGACCTTTATATTTTGGTTATATTTGCGAACGAAACACATTTAAAACAATAAGTAAACTAATTTTTAATTAATTTACAGAATTTCCCAGACAAAGAAGAATTGCTTCGTAATATGATGGGCTTACTGGGAAATGTCGCGGAGGTCGGTGAACTGCGTCCTCAGCTTATGAACAAACTGTTCCTTACGGTCTTCTATGACCTCCTGGATTCTTCCAGTGATGGAATTGAGGTCTGTATTGTTAATTAAATGAAAACGCTTTAATTTATTTACTAATTCGACTCCACATTGGCCACTATATCATTATTTAAACATCTTAAGCATTTGTAGTCTGGATTCTTAACGCCCTTGTGATTTGTAATGTGATGAAACGAAAAAGCGACACTAAAAAAAGACAAAAAAACTTTATAGAATTTTATCCTGTGAGTGAATGAGACAGAATACTTCTGTGACATTTCGCATCTTCCGTGTATGAAATGCATACATGTTTTCGTATGTATGTGTTTTATATAGCTCACTCCAAAATTTTGTACTATGTATTGTATCAGCGTCTATATACACCATTAACGAATGAAGGCAAAATCTTAATTGCATTGTGTAATAGCTCCTTGGCTAAATGTATGACTGCTTGAAGCAGAAATAGGCGGAGAGGCGGTTTTTTTTTTTTTTTTTTTTCCTACCTATGCTGGTAGCCTTGAGAGGCTATTTCAGCTTCACCCTAACGTGTGTAGGTGAGCTCACGGGGCTCAAACCGGAGAGTTGCTAACACTGACCCTAGCAAGAGCAGTGCTTCGCAGAATCTACCACCGGATCGGAAACGCGACCCACTGAGAAGATCCGGCGAGAAACTCAGTGGGCTGTGTCTAGGGGTTAATTCGCTCGTCGATCCCTTCGTCGCAAGCGACGGGTTCGACGAGGACGGTGACCGGTGCTTGTGGTGCCTAAAAGCACCGTTAATGGATCGGGAGGATCCGTAATGACGTGCTTTGGGCGACGTCGACTGTTTACCATTCGGTCTACAGGATCGGGTATGTAGTTTCCAGCCGCCACGACAAGAGGGTTCTCATGTCGTGCCGCCTTCTCGAAATGGCGCAATGGTGCCGACTGAAGATACTTACTGACAGAGTCGAGCTCCAGGTCATCGTGGAGATCCACGTTCCTCAGGAACCATGGTGCTCCGACGGCTATCCTGCAGAATCGGGATTGAATAACCTGAAGGGGCTTCAAGTTGGTGCGGGCTGCGAGAGCGAACACTACGCTTGCATACGTCATAACGGGGCGTATGCAAGTTTTGTAGAGAGTTACCTTATTACGGAGGGACAGTTTGCTTCGCTTGCAAAGCATAGGGTAGAGACGTCCTAATATGAAGGCGGCACGGTCGCGTACCGTTTTAATATGGGGACGGAATGTCATCCCTCTGTCGAGGGTGACGCCTAGGTATTTGACCTGCGAGGCCCACGGTATGGGCTGGCCAAAGAGAGTGATGGGACTAACGGCGGAGGTGTTTGCGCGCCTACTACGGAGTGGGATGCTCGAAGTGATGTTCGGAGGGCGACCCCTTTTGAAGAGCACCGCTGCGCTTTTCGTGGGGTTGATGTCTATTCGCCACTTCCGGAACCACTGTCCCATGGTGGCTACTGCGATCTGGAGTCGCCGATGAAGCAGCGACATCTTCCTACACGAGTAGTAGATAGCCGTGTCATCGGCGAAGAGCGCTAGATGGGTCTCCGGAGACCGGGGTATATCATTGATATACAAACTAAATAATAACGGGGAGAGCGCGGAGCCTTGCGGGACTCCGGCAGTCAGTTGACGGGGACGAGAACGAGTTCCCTCTACTCGATATCGAAACGAACGGTTCGACAAGAAGTCTCGTATGATGAGCACGAGTCTGTCTGGCACTCCCATGTTGTACAGTTTGTAAATTAAACCGTTGTGCCAGACTTTGTCGAACGCCTTCGCGATGTCGAAGAAGAGGGCGCCGGTCGGGATTTGTTTACGCCTATTTAGTCCTATCAGGATGTGCTCCGTGAGGCGGTGCACTTGTTGTACGCACGAGTGTTTAGAGCGGAATCCGAACTGTTCGTCTATGAGAATTTTGTTCGCGGTAACAAAATCCCAGAGGCGTTTCCTAAGGAGCCGTTCGTAAATTTTTCCTATCGTCGAGAGGAGACTAATCGGACGGTAACTAGAAGTTTCGTTTGTCGGTTTGCCCGGCTTATGTATACCGATAACGTCCGCTTCTTTCCACACCGCGGGAAAGATGCAGTGCGTCATAGCGGCATTTAAAATTGTAGCCAACATTGCTATCAGTTGGACTGGCAAGAGTTTTAGCGCGCGGTTGCGGATGCCGTCGGAGCCGGGTGCCTTCCTAGGTTGGAGGTTGTGGATCGCGTCTCTAACTTCGTCAGTGGTAATGGGGGGTAACGCGTCCGAGGGCGGCAGGGAAGCTCTGCGCTCGACCTCCCTGTCGACTAACTCGGTGTGTTCGGGGTCCGCGTGTTGAGTGCTGGTGGTGCACTGCTCTTGCAGTGCATCGGCCAGCAGCTCAGCCTTGTCATCGTCATCGAATGCCGGTGGTTGGCCTGAAGGGCGTACGAGGGGAGGCATAGTAGCGGTAGTTTCGGATTTGAGAGTCCTAGCTAGTCGCCAGTATGCTTGGTGGGAGGGCGCGAGTTGTTCTAAATAACTATGCCAATTATCGTTACGCGCGTCGCTTAGGCGGGAGTGGACTTCGCGTTGTAGACGACGCATCCGAATCCGGTTTGAATGCGTGGGAAGACGATCGTAGGCCCGGATTGCCGCGTTCCTAACTCTTAAGAGATTCCTAAGTTCGGAGGACAGTCTGATGCGGTGGAAGCTGTCCTCCACATCGACTTCTTTTGAAGATCTAATGATCGCGGAAGAGATGTGATCGGTAATGATGTTTATGGATTCGACGGTGTCCTCGGGGGATAGATTCGAATCCGGGCCGTAAGGGAGGATTGGCGGAGCGGCTTCGGCTAGGCACGTGCCCAGCTTATTCCAATCCACCATGGTCCTCGTAACAGTGGCTGGGTTGTGAGGGCGACCGAGCTGCATAAGGACAGGTCGGTGGTCTGAGTCGAGCTCTGACAGTGCTTCGATGGAACGTAAGCGCAGAGTTACGTTCCTAAGCAATGCCAGGTCTATAGTGCTCGGACGGAGCGCGATGTTATACGGATAACATGTTGGAGTTGGGGGACCGACTACTTCAAAAGTGAGGTCGTCTATAAACGCGTCGAGACGCCTACCGTTAACGTTCGTACGATGGCAGTTCCACCTAGTGTGGTGGCAATTTAAATCGCCTGCCAGGATGACGGAGTCTCCCATGCCAAACAGTGACTCGATGTCACTGCTCAGGAGGGGCTTGTCCGGGGGGAGATAAACGGATGCGATGACGATCGGCTGGTGTCCCGTCAGCGAGATACGGCACACTGACGCCTCGATATGTAAGAGCGAGGGAGTATCGAGAGGGACAACGTGCAGGGCCCGCCTATAGTAAATGGCAGTCCCGCCTTTGGAGGCGGTGAGTCTGTCATTCCTAACCATGACGTAATTCGCGACTTTCGGGTCACGACGCGAGGGCTTCAGACAGGTCTCCTGCACTAACAAAATATCTACAAGATTATCGCGGAGGAATTCGAAAATTTGATCGCGTTGCCGCGCGAGTCCGTTAGCATTGTAGAATGCTAACGTAAGGGAATACGGTTTTTCTCTACCTTTTTGCGCCATTGATTACCGGTAAAGAATTTTTATAACGTGCGAGACACGGACTCGTAGACGTCCATGTGATCGAAAGCGGCCGCGAGCCGCTGTTCGGGGGTTACCGACCTACGGATAGCATCTGCGAACGATCGCAGACGGTCAAAGTTTACCGCGGTGACGAAGTCGCGCACGAGCGCGAAGTCGTTGACGACTGAGGGTTGCGGGGGGCGGTACGCGGGCGCGGGGCGAGGTGCGAGCAGGGGCTGAGGCGCGTGACGTGTCGCAGGCGGGAGCTGGGGTACGTTTTGTGTTCCCTCCTTCGTATACGGCAGCGGTTTTTTCCACGCCGAGACGGTGGGAACCGCAGCCGGTACGAAGGCTGGTTTCGGCACTGAAGGCGCCGAAGTCTTTGGGTCGACGGTTCGGGGGGCTGGGTGGTTCGGGTGTTTACGCGGAGCCCTAGGACATCCGCGATAGTTTGCCGGGTGCCCTTGCTTAAGGCATAGGACACAGCTTGGGGGTTCCGTCGCGGTTTCCCTAACACGCGAACATTCTGTGATGTGTGTTGCGTGATCGCCGAGGCATTTCACGCAGCGGGGGCGCGCGTGGCAATTACGCGCTGAGTGGCCATAGAGCTGGCACCTGTGGCACTGCCCGGGAGTACCACGTTTATGAGGGGCTTCGATATTGACCCCGGAGAGGCCGCATATCGTTTTGAGACATGAGATTCTTTTCTTTGCCTCCGGGGTTGATTCTAGCGCGACGAGAATCATATTGTACGGCTGTCTGCCGCGTCCGCTGTGCATCCGGTGCACACTAACTATTGGGAGGGACTGACCGATCAGATCCTCCTTTACGTAGTCTATGTCGAGTTCCTTGGGGACTCCACGTATCACTACGCGGAGTTCGCGGTCCTCCTGAAGAGCATAGGTGTGATAACCTATGTTCTCCTTTCGGAGGTAAGCAGAGAGGGCCCTATGGTCGCCCGGCGTTGCGACCTTAATCTGAATCCCATGCGCGACGTTACGCGCATGGGTATAATTAATTTTGTTGGCCTGAAGGGCCTGGGATACGCGATTCCACGCTGACTTCTCCTGGAGTATCAGCGGGGGCGGGACAACTGTTTTAGGCGCGGGCGCGGTTTTTGGGCGCGGCGGTGGGATTACGCGGCGGGCGGAGTCCGACTCCGGCGTTACGACTACCTGCGGTCGGGAGGCGGTCGCGGACTTGGTTTGCTTCGTCATGGAGCTCCGGGACTCCACGACGCGAGTACGCTTTTTACCGCGCGTTACAGTTTGGAACCCATCCGAGGTTCCGGGTTGAGGGCTAGTCGCGGACTCGAAGTCCATCTCCGATTCGGTATCGGAGCCTGAACTAGACGCTATTGAGGTCGCGACGGACGAAACTGACGTGATTGACGCGGGCGCGGGGGTAGCGGGGGCGGGGGCGTTAGACGCTACGGCGGCGGCGTGCGTACGTGCGCTTGAACACGGACCGGTGGCGGGGCACGCGAGGCATGTTTGGCGACGACGGCGAGAGATGCGGGGGGAGAATATTTACCAAATGAAGCCCTATAGGCTTCGAATTCGGGCGCGATTGTCGGATATTTTTCCCGAATGAAGTCGATGAAAAGTTTTTCCTCCATCTTTACGTGATTTTCGCCTGGGGGGGGGCGGCCCCGGGACTTAAACACGCGCTCGCCTTGCGGCGAGGCCCCTCCGTCGGTAACACTAAATTGGCCGAAGCGATTCTAGGAATTTTAGAAATTTTAGTGAATAGAATAAATAGAATAGAATTAGAGTGAATAGAACCACTGCACAGTTCCCGGGCGGCAATGCCTTGCAATTAGGCGCAGGTACAAATTCCGAGAAACACTTGGGCCACAGATTTGCCACGAACAATGATCTATTATCACCGGTAGTCACTTCCGACAAAACAATGAGCACGTCCACGCGCGTCGGTTGCTCAAATCGGAATGGAGAGGCGGTACTGACACGTGCGGCCTTACGAAATGCCGTCTGCCCAGTAAAATCAAAGTTATAGTACGCAGCGAATGAAACTAGAATAAAAAAGAAGATGTAATTCTGTGTACATCCGAACTCATAATTACTTCACGTCTGTCGGTTTCACAAGAAACACTAATTATTGTGTAAATTAAACGATTTGATTTTTAGGAATAGTCTTTTTTTTGTAACGTAGGGACTTTAAAAAAATTCTCGTTTTTTTTTTCTAAATTTATTTATAATGATTCGTAATGTAAGGCCAACCAGACGAGATAAAAAATGTAAACAAAGTTTCAGGAGTAAAAAACATTTTTATGTAAATAAATTATTACAAAGTTCGAATTTTAATCGCTGTCATCTGTACTAGACAAAGATGATTCGTCGGAAGAGTCCGAGTCAGCTGTGTTTATGATAAAACTATCTATTGTATTATCAATCATGTTGTCAATATTGCTATAAAAATTATCCTCGATTTTTATAACATGATCCACACAATTTCGCCATTTATCAGCAGATACACGTTGGATCCCCTCTTTTAGCAGTTTTTTCATATCTTCAAATTTAAATGTAGTATTATTGCGAGCTACGTGTCCCTTTATGTCAGCCCATACGAGTTCAATGGGATTGAGCTCGCAATGATAAGGTGGCAGTCTTAGGACTTCCACCTTAAATTTTTTTGCTAAGTATTATTTATTAATTATTTTTTTAACTAAGTACTCACAATAACAGCAAAAATCAAAAATAAAACTAACAAAAACGGAATAATAACAACAACAAACCAAGTAAATACGGAAACGAAAAAATATGTATCACTTCGAACGCAATCCAAACAGGAATGAACTTGTTCACAAAATGGCGGACCAAATGTTGACAACTGCGGTACTCAGTGCTTTCCTGTACCACGAAACACACAACGACAGNAAATGGCGGACCAAATGTTGACAACTGCGGTACTCAGTGCTTTCCTGTACCACGAAACACACAACGACAGCTGTTGTCGACCAACTGACGCCATAACTGCGCGTACGAGTGATAAGGACAGAGATAATAATCCCTCGCTATCGCAATGTAACTCAGTAACGGTCCGCTTGTTTACGTTTATTATCTCGTCTGGTTGGCCTAAGTTTAGTACAATGTATCTTGTAGTTAGCAGGTCCAAAAATTTAATGCGTAGCGTCAGAACTGTTTTCGTCTGGCCACACTAAATTGTCAAAAAATTCTGGATACTAGAGTTATCTTATTAACTAAAAGCATTGTGTTTCTTTCTTTTTTTGCTTAGGTTAGTAGACGAGCTCACGGCCCACCTGGTGTTAAGAGGTGGGCAGCATCTACAATGTAAATGCTGCCACCCACCTTAAAAAATGAGTTTTATAAGGTGTCACTTTTAACCGTTCAACCGCTACCCCGCCCTTCAAACCGAAACGCATTACTGCTTCAAAGCAGAAATAGGCGGGGTGGTGGTACCTACCCGTGCGTACTCCCAACTCTCAACACGTCCTTCCACCAGTAATTACGCAAATTATAATTTTGCGGGTGTGATTTTTATTACACGATGTTATTACTTCACTATGGAAGTAAATCGTGAACATTTTTTAGGTTTTTATTATTATTTTTATTGCTTAGATGGTTGGACGAGCTCACATCCCACCTGATGTTAAGTGGTTACTGGAGCCCATAGACATCTACAACGTAAATGCGCCACCTACCTTGAGATATTAGTTCTAAGGTTTCAGTATAGTTACAACGGCAGTCCCACCCTTCCAACCGAAACGCATTACTGCTTCACGGCAGAAATAGGCAGGGTGGTGGTATCTACCCGTGCGGACTCACAAGAGGTTCTACCACCAGTAATACAGTAGTACACACCAGGTACGTATTTTGTTGGAAAAAATGGTACCTGCCGGCGGGATTCGAACCCATAGCTACTAACTACTACATACGAATGCACCGGACATCATATCGTTTAGGCCGCGACGACTTCAATGGAATTGTGTCGGTAGCCATCACAGATCACAAGATATTTGACAGATGCCTGAATCTCGCTTACGACATTTTCAAGATAAGCTCGCATATATACATTTCCGAAACAACAACATTCGGACCGTCGGTCTACCGAGCAAATATCACCCGCTCGGTGGAAGATCTTCCCTTTGTCGTATATAGTCCCCGGCACGTAACTTGGCAAGAGTCGTTAGATGCGCAGAAGTCGTTTTTTAGGTCTCTTTGGTTGTCAAGCGGGACGCGGGGAAAGACGTAGCACGGTTCCGAGCGCGCGATTGGTGAGTCAGTCGACCCTTGCCTCCCGCACCGCGTCCACGTTCCGTTCGCTCCCGGTTACACATGCGCCTACTAAAGTTGTAGGAACCCTTTGTTTATATTGAGTTTTACTTACGAGTTGTTATTATTGTTTTAAATTTAGTTTTTGTTACGAGTGTTATTGTTTTAAGTTTGTTTGCAATAGCTCAGGTGCTACCATAAATTTAATCCAAGGGGTAGCACTATTAGAAAATTATAGTGACGACGGCGACACATAATTTTTAATATTAACTATATTTTTTTAAATAAACTTCTTAACTTTTAATTGTATTTTATTATAACACCTAATATACTTCACGAATTCCTCTCTTTTCTTTAACTTTCTTCTAAACACACAGACTTGAAAATAAATTAAGGCAAATAAAAAATTTAATAAAATAAAATTAATTTGTATGCGGGCAATAAAAGTGACCATTTTTTTGTTGCAATGTGCACTATGCGCGACATTACCCCCACTACACCAAAACCTTGCCAACTTACGTGCCGCTTACTATACCCACAGCACGTTCAATGGCATTGTGTTTTAGGTTAGCTACAATGCGGCTGGGGTGCTGGCCCACATGGCGTCTGACGGGCCGGGCGCTTGGACCGTCGACGAGCCGAGTCGCGTCTGCGTGCTGCACCGCGTAGCCACCGCCGTCGAGCGCTGGGACCTGCACGCCGAACGCAACATCAACTATCGCTCCTTCGAACCGATACTGAGTCTGCTCCACGCTCACCACACACCGCAGTGCCAGCACTGGGCCGTGTGGGCGCTCGCCAACCTCACCACAGTCTACCGTTAGTACTGGAGTTTATTGTATACGATTAATCGAATTTCGACCTTAATCACTGTCAATTCATGGTCTATATTCATTTGATGTAGGTATCGTTTTTTTTCCTACGTATGCTGATAGCCTTGAGAGGTTATTTCAGCTTCGCCTTGACGTGTAGGTGAGCTCGCGAGGCTCAAATCTGACGACGTTGCTAAGACGAACCCTAGCAAGGGCCGTGCTTCGCAGAATCTACCACCGGATCGGAAACGCGACCCACTGAGAAGATCCGGCGAGAAACACAGTGGGCTGTGGCTATGGGTTTATTTACTCGTTGAGCCCTTCGTCGCCAGCGACGAGTTCGACGAGAACCAGGACCGGTGATGGGGTACCAAAAAGCACCGTTTGGATCCGAAATGACGTATTTTGGGCGACGTCGACAGTTTACCATTTGGTCAGCAGGATCGGCTGTGTAGTTTCCGGCGGCCACGATGAGAGGATCCTCATGTCGTGCCGCTTTATCGAAGAGGCACATTGATGCTGACTGTAGATACTTACTGATGGACTCTAGGTCCAGGTCATTATGGAGATCTACATTCTTTAGGAACCATGGTGCTGCGACGGCTATCTTGCAATATGTATCGTGTTTTCTCTTTTGTTAATGAGTAAAATAAAGTACGCCAACTAAATAAATAAAAAAAGTCGACAAAGAGCGTGAACCGATACTGAACTATTTTGTTGCATGGTATGCAAAGTCAAAACAATTGAAACGGAGTTCGTTTTGTTATAATAAAATTTTTGTGCGTTTTATTAAGTAATGAATAAATAAAAAATGGGTCAGTATACAATAATTATACGAATCATAAAATGTGAATGTAAAATGCGAGTAAAATTGGTATTGTAGATAAATTTCTGGAATATTAGTGAAAAAATTATAAAGCTATTTAATTTTTATAAAATATTTTTGCATATATTCAAAATTGACAAGTTTCAGTTTCCTATGTGATGCGATGGAAGTGCTCAAAAAATCACTGAAAAAAGATGTTGGTTTCTCGTATTGTTTTTCATTGATACACTTTTTTCGGTCTTGCCCCTCAGCCTGCAAACAAAACGTGTGATAATTATAATTATCTGTTCAAAAATAAAAATAAGAATTTTCATTTTTATTATTAATTGTGTTAGTCAATTCTATGAACATTTTCAGCCGAGAAGTACTGCAATTTGGTGGAGGCTGAAGGCGGATTGCGCCTGCTGAACATTCTCTTGAACCATCCGGCTCCGTACGATCAGATCAAGAACCTGGCTTGCATTGTAATCAACAACTGCACTAAATACGCCGTACGCGACGCCTCCACTCCCCCGATACCGACCACTCCGGATAATTAACTAATGGAGTACTTTGAGGAGATTGACCCCTTCCTCGAAGAATAGCAGTACCTCTGCAGGGTTGCCCTGATAGTTGGTTTGGGTCTTACAGTAGCATTTTGCTGGAAATTCATAGCGATTCTCCTGTATGTAGCGGACAATTAATTTAGTCGCTTAGAGACGACATATTTTATGAAATTATAGTATTTAACAAGTTTAATCCCCGTAGTAAAATGTATACGCAGCACGTTTAAATTAATTATTGGTGTCGTAGTAATGTTTAATGTGTGTGAGTTTAGATTTCACTATATCTCTGAAGTCTCAAAGGAGTTCCGAGTGATTTGACGGCTCGCGCCCCACCTATGGTGCGTTTATGGTACTATGACAAGAAGCTACTGTGTATCATCAATTGTATCTCTAATAACTGCAACCGACTCAGACATTGCCTGAGTTTATCGTTCTCATAAAAATACTAACATTCATCAGTGAACAGATAATTGAGTGAACTCATTTTCTCCATTCAAGCATACACATAAAATATCCTAGTATATTCAATGTAGTATGGTTATGATATGGTATGAACTTATAGTTGAAACTATAACATTATATACGTTTTTTCTCTATCGGTGTTTTAGAATATAACGTTTTTGAATCATAAATGTCTAGGTGTGCATTAGATTAAGTATCTACTATGATTGTAGTTTATTTTTGAATCACTAAATTACTATTTATTTTTTCAGGGGTGTCTAAAAACTATGAATATTTATTTAGAGATTTTTTTTTGTTAACATGCCTTCATCATTCATTTACACTGAACATTGTTTATTTATTCTATTGTTTTACCTGAGTTTATCGTTCTCATAAAAATACTAACATTCATCAATGAACAGATAATCGAGTGAACTCGTTTTCTCCATTCAAGCATACACATAATATTTCCTAGTATATTCAATGTAGTATGGTTATGATATGGTATGAACTTATAGTTAAAACTATAACATTATATACATTTTTTCTCTATCGGTGTTTTAGAATATAGCGTTTTTGAATCATAAATGTCTAGGTGTGCATTAGATTAAGTATCTACTATGATTGTAGTTTATTTTTCAAATTACTAAATTACTATTTATTTTTTCAGGGGTGTCTAAAAATTATGAATATTTATTTAGAGATATTTTTTTTTTGTTAACATGCCTTCATCATTCATTTACACTGAACATTGTTTATTTATTCTATTGTTTTACCTGAGTTTATCGTTCTCATAAAAATACTAACATTCATCAATCAACAGATAATCGAGTGAACTCGTTTTCTCCATTCAAGCATACACATAATATTTCCTAGTATATTCAATGTAGTATGGTTATGATATGGTATGAACTTATAGTTAAAACTATAACATTATATACATTTTTTCTCTATCGGTGTTTTAGAATATAGCGTTTTTGAATCATAAATGTCTAGGTGTGCATTAGATTAAGTATCTACTATGATTGTAGTTTATTTTTCAAATTACTAAATTACTATTTATTTTTTCAGGGGTGTCTAAAAATTATGAATATTTATTTAGAGATATTTTTTTTTTGTTAACATGCCTTCATCATTCATTTACACTGAACATTGTTTATTTATTCTATTGTTTTTATTGTTTAGGTGGGTATTTATAACTTTGCTATGTACCTTAGATACGAAACTTCAACATTATATAGGGACTTAGTCCATTTACGTAATAATAGAATTTACGATACGTAGCGTAGATTCTTCATTAAAATATTATTCATTCGTAAAGATAAAATTTTGTCTCGTTTATCGATTACTAGTATTAGGAAAAGCTATAACAGCAAAATTTTCTTTAGTAGTTTTTAAATCGTAAGTCGAAATTTATTCGAGAACTATTTTGTGTTTTCTTGATAATCGCATTATAAAATTATACGTCGTAACAACGATGGAAGCGTTACTCTGGTAGTTGCTTTTCATGCTAAATATGTAGTGATTAAAAATATAGTGATTGTAATAATCATCTAGTTATGTATTATCTGGGTGTTTAAATAAATAGATGTTGTAAATTTGTTTTTGTTTATTCTGTGGTTTTCTTTTTTCATTTCAATTAGTTTTCATTTATAATAATTATATTATAGTATTACTAAACTTTGTAGCGTCTGTGAAAACTAGAAGTGGCAACAAGTGAATTTGTCTCTTCAGGCACTAGACGGTACTTGCATTATAGTAATATATATGTCGTTCTGTTATTAGATTTGTCTTATCTTTATATAATATTATGTATTTATTCGTACTTCTTTAAAAGATGTGTCATTGTAGAAATTATTATGTTATCAATAAAAGTGATTATTGATGTGAGATTGTAGTTTTATTTCTATTTATTAAGTACCCTACCTTATCTATATATATAAAAATGAATTGCTGTTCGTTAGTCTCGCTAAAACTCGAGAACGGCTGGACTGATGGCTAATTTTGGTCTTGAATTATTTGTGGAAGTCCAGAGAAGGTTTAAAAGTTAAAAAAATAAAAAGAGGCTTAAAAAATATGAAATTGCTTGGAATTAAATAAAAATAACAATTTTGTTTTTCCTTTGATTGGTCCCCCGTCGAACGGATTCCTTTTGTTTGTTTTAAGTTTATTTTATAGAAAAGGTTAGGTCTTTTAATTATCGATTGAGGCATTACGAAGTCCGCCGGGTCAGCTAGTTTTTAATGAAAATAAGTATTCAATGGTCTTTGTCTAACCTGTTCTTTGGTCAGCTTACTCCTATTCTAGTCTAGCAAAAGATTCTTACAACAGCCTCAGTGTAAAAAGGTTTTTGCAACTGAACTGTTACTTCAATGTCTGGTATAAATTAAGATATAATTTAAGAGTTCAAATCAAAAATAAAATTTTAATACAGCTACCACAGTATTGTTCTGGATTGCACTGGATTCTAAGTTGTTGTTATTTTTTGTTCTATCTGTTCGCTGGTAATTTAAGAGGCTATTCCAACTACACCCGGGCGGGTACGTGAGGCCACAGGCTCAACCTGAGAGAATTTGCTAACACTAGCCCTAGCAAGAGCTGTGCTTCGCAGAATCTATCACCAGATCGGAATCGCGACCCACTGAGAAGATCCGGCGAGAAACTCAGTGGGCTGTGTTTATGGGTTAGTTCGCTCGTTGAACTCTTGGTGACGGGTGACGGTGACCGGTGCTTGAGGGCCCTAAAATCGCCGAGAGTGAATACGGGAATCTGACAAGACATTTTTCGGGCGACGGCGGCCTTGCGTTGCCCCGTCGCGGTCGCATAAGTTGGTGTTCTTTCTCACAGGTTTACACCAAGTGCTCGTATAATGCTTAGTTCTCTCCCAGTTAAATCGATCCAAATCTAAGTCGGAAGTGTTTGCAATAAAATCAAGATCAAGGTCTTCTTATCGATTTTTTTATGTAATACTAGTCAACAATTCCTGTAATATAAGATTCGGTTAATTAAAACGCAATCAACCAACAACAACAACTGCCAGCTATTTTTCAACTACAAACAAAAAGACTTTGGGTTCCTAGGTTGAAGGATGTTGAGATAAGATGAAAGGTACTCCAGCCTATTGTAATTATTCATATATTTATCGATTATGTGATTAATTAGTTTAAATATGTATTTTTTTCGTGTTTAAGTGCGTCCACTTAATTATAAATTATTTTAGCAATCAATTGATTGAACCATAAATCATTCCTTATTTTCAAAAGTGTTGATTTCTATCCGATCTAAAAATCAGGCCTCGATTTCAGTTGTTAATATCGGTGAGAAGTCCTTTTTTTTTGGAATTACTTCTATTTTCCCGATTTGTAAATGTATGTAAATGATTAAAAGTATTTTTATAATATTTATCAAATCGGCGTCCCTGAATACAAAAACTGAAGTATTACAAATGAGTTGTCTATTATCAAAGGTGGCAATCTGTGAATTTGGACAAAAAAATGTTATTGATATGTCAATACAGATTGATTTGAATATAGGTAATCGTCTCCTTCAAAGAATACGATTCAAAACCTGCATTAAATATAGGTTAATACTTAACCTGTTATTTATCTAAGATGTCGTTCAGAAGAGTTTTGTGACTGCCAATGGAATACAAAGTCAATAATTCGTTTTTCTGATTTACCAATAATTGTCCAAAAGTCACATTGCCGGCTTTGATAATAGTCGACTCAAATGTCGTTTTAACCAAACTAAAAATTATAAATGAGAAAATAAACCGTAAAAAGAGCATTTTTATAATTTTGGTTTAAAAATCGATTCTTCGATTAATAAAATTTATCTCAGATCGTGAACCTACCTTGAGGGTAGGTACTTAACAGATTATCTTTAAGTTTGCACACCGACTAACCAATGTAATTCCTGCTAAAATTTAAGGTACTTTTTATGCTAATTTTACAATTTCTTCCAACAGTTCAACGATGCAAATGTCAATATGTCGTTTGTTACGGTCGGCAATGGTTTTTCATTGAATCAGTTTACTGAGTTTGGTACCTTACCTACTGGTGAATTCTTTTATCCGTATTTTGCATAGTTCAAATCAGGTAATATAAACTTTTTTGCGTAAGCGGTGTGAGTGCTGATTCGAGATAATATGATTGTAACCTTCGGAAGCGACAGGAAATTAATTGCATGATTTTTGTGTCGTTTCATCTCAAGTAAATAAACTTAGGCAACTTATTAATACTTTAAATTTTATTAAATATCAATAATAACAATAAAATTGTTTTCAAATGAAGCATTAGTTTAAAAGCGATAAGCATAAGCTTGATGAGCATTTTTTGCTTTATCCTAGTTTTTACTTACGATTAATATTTACGACGACGAATATAATAATTCAATAGCTTAGAGTAAAAAGCAACATTAAGCTCTGGCTTATTTATAATAATATTATTATAACCTCATATTATGTGACCTTCTTAAAATAATAGATAACGAAACAAAGCCACAAAAAAAAACAAAAACACATAATATCTACTTAAGTAGGAAAATTACATTAATGTAATTAAATTTAAGATTTACATTTCAACATTACCTACATAAACTTGAACAATAAAAATTGAGAAACCATTTTATTATTCTGTAACGATTATAAAAGGAAGCCACTGAAAATCAAATATAAAAAAGGTACCATGTCATAAATGTGAAATAAATTATATAATATATTTTTTTCTATTTATTTCACTGTTTGTACAGAATACGAAATTTTCAAATTCAAATAGGTTTTTGTAAGAACTGAGGAATTTGATATATTGATTTCATTAAAATGGTTTATTAAACCAACGCTATTGTTTCTGTTCTGAAAACGTGTCCTTAAATGATGACTTAAAACTTGCGCAAAAACTTTATTAAACGAAATATTCACTTTAGCACAATTAAATGCACTCGGAGTACCAAAACGATGTAATAAGAGTTACTACTCAAACACAGGAAACATTAAACAATTTTTGTTTATTTTTTATCACAATGCTCAGTAATAACTAAGTACTTACTTACTATAAATGGATTTTAGCTAATAAAGTATGATCAACTTCTAAGTGATTTTTAAATTAAATGTAAGTATAGATTAGATCTCTAGATTAGATATATAGATATCATTCCAAGCACTTTGAAATTCTGAAAAAAAATAATTGAAACGAATATTCATTAAAATTAATTGGTTCAACGCAATTTTCACGCGAAAACAGATTTTTCATTTTCTATCTCTGTCAAACAGATACGAGCATATCTTTGACTCAGCACTTATCGAAATTCGTTACCTTGTCGCTAATGGACATCGCCGTCACTAATGCGGACCAAGCCGCTTATTATTTTTCTGGACTCGTTTCTTATATAATTCGAATATGAACACTTCATAGAGTTACGAAGCATGAAGGAGAGGAGTTCATTCCAGAGACAAGTTTTTCATAGCAAAAATAATCATTGGAGGTTCATCGTCGGAAACCTCAATGGTGGTGGTGAAAATCCGTTTCGCTTGCGATTTGTGGAGTCATCTCAATACTTCCTCAGACCACTTTTAATGAAATTTATTACGTAGATTTCAATTAATGACAATAATCGAATATCAGCGAGACTGACCATATTGGCTTTGTGAAGAATAAGTCTTCGAACGGATAAGAAGTTCTTAATCTTTTTCTTTGTAGAGGTAATTCCAATATTTTCAAAGAAAGCTTAGCTTTACTGTTCAAATTAATACGATATTATACGAAATTAATACGACACCGAGCAAAAAATCACCTCTGAAAAAGAAATATTCTATTAAAATTGGACAGCAGCAGAATTCGTGTGGTCTATTTTATCATTTAATGCAAGGTGTGTTAAGATATGGTGATTAATGTTGTATGGTTAAGGTTTGTTATATACAAGGTGAAGGTATAAATAACAGTATTTAAAATTATAGCACCATAAAAACTCATTTCAATTCCACACATTTTGAGACCTAGCCCTAATATTTGGTCACTTTATAATATAATACAGGCTTCGCGATATTCTCTTGATCAGAACGACAGATACGTTACAGGAGTGGAATGAAAAATGTTGATTTGATGTGAAATTATAATAAAAATAATATAATGAAACGAGATAAAACGAAATTAAATATTATTCGAGTTAAAATTTGGTGGGAATTTACCGACACTTATCAGGTATTTTTGGACGTACCCAAGAAGCCCTGTTCAGCAACATTATTTGTATTTCATTTTCCATTAAAATTACAGTTACAGATACTAATCCTTTAATAAGCTCGGTTAGGCCTGAAGAAACACCTAATTGGCAAAATAAAGTAATCAAAATAACATCGGTCCTTCTATTCCTACAAAAATGCCTACGTGGAAAGAACGTGGTAATATTACGAAAATTCGTTGACTAGCGTATTACTGTTATTTGTATGGATTTATCTGTATCGTCGAGAGAAAAATATTTGGCAATAAATGTTTCATTTTAAGTACCTGGGACCATAATTGAGGACCGTTATCACGCAGTCTCAAGAAAGCAAGTAGGTAGGTACAAACCAGTAGTACTGCTTCACCAGATGTTCCATGTTTGGTAGAGACCATACTGGCTGGTCAAAGTAGTCTAGCCGGTTTTTTCTGGAGCAATTTGAGTTGCATTTCTCAACAAATCACGTGTTTTAAATAATATAGGGAGTGTGAAAACAACAAGAAATTCCGTTGTACTTTTTTTTTCTAGTAGATGAACAGAAGGCCATCGTGTGATCAGGTCCAAGTATGTATGGGATGAAGGCTACCTTAGTATTCACACTGGAGAGTGTGATTATTTCGGAGCTAAATAAAACCACCACGAACAGTACAACAAAATTATACTTTATTTCTTTTAACGTCTTATATTTTATATAGTAACATATAAATAGTTTTATTAATAGCAACTTTATAGCATATAAAGATACAAATAACCAAAAAAATAACCAAAATACGCGAATATACTTTGTGCGCTAATATATTTCAAATAGTTGTAATTATTCATTATTTAGATATTTATTCATAAGTGCTCATGTTTCAAAAAGGCTCCGAGTTTTCTGTTGCTTTCACAAACAGATATCTTATAAATAATTTAATAACATCATGTTAGTTCTCATATTATTATGTTCAACAATGTGTTTATACTATCTTTGTTAGTTCTAATGTTTAGATTATATACTAGTCTATTATTAGGTCCTAAAATACTAATGAATTAGTAAGTTGTTCCAATGTCACCTTTTCTGATCGTCCCGATCGTCCAGTAAACAATAGTAAATAGTATTAATTTTATTTGTATTAAATGAATTTATTACAAATAATGATATGTGATTACTTATTCGATTAAATTATTTAACATGAAAGTAACAATTTAAATATCACATAATATTCGTAGAAATATTTATTACGATTATAGTTTTAATATCTTTAAATGGTCCATTATTAAGCGCATTATATATCACGTGTCTGTCTAAATACCTATTATTGTGCAGTGCTTATGAAGGCTTCGTTTATTATATTCCATTTTGTACCGTTCCATTTATTCCTCTTTTTAGAGGAATCAATTTACCCTACGCGTATGGTGAGTTGCAGTTTTTAGGTGACACGTGGCGCAACAGTGAGTTATACATCATTTTATTCAGTGTTATTCATTAAGAATACAAGTACGCATGAGCGCATCGATCACAGAGTACGGGTCACAGTTTGAAGCCGGTCGACGATCTTCCAAATAACCCTTCTTATCTTCAGCGACAGAGCGAGGTATTCTGATACTGCTACCACGATTAGCCACGCCTGTATTTAAAAAAAGAATTCTTGGATAAACAAATAAACTACCAATGAGCCATTTGGCGAAATCCGCTCGGGGTATCAGACTTCTGTTCTTTAAATTCGTGAAGCATGACTGTTTCGCATTAGAACTATAAAAAATGGCGGTAACCACCGGTGCAGTAAATCCCTTAATCATTTTTGGGACACCCACGGAAAGAAAGAAGGTGAGTTACTTAAGACCGATGAACACCACGCACCAAAAAAATACATATTTTTTACAATAGGACTGCTTTTCTGAAATACGAACTAGCAAAAAAAAATCAGAATAGAATATTATAGCATAGTATTTTATACAAAGTTTCGAAAAGCGAAATTGACAACAGATTCATTGTACTTTATGTCGTGTGAATAAATGATGCTATTAATTGTCGGAAGTTCTTTGCACGACACAATAACATGATATGTTTCCACTCGTATTCGAGTAATCTCCTCTAATAAATAAATCCTTAATACATTTACGATCTGTATCGAACCAATATCTTATAACAATAAAAAGAGCGGTCTGAAACAAGCTGCATACCTGCACTGAAGTCATTAATACTGGCAGTTTCATGAAGACCAGTCAGCCTTCTCTCATTATCTTTTCCACCGCGAGGATCATAAACCTTAATGTGCTTCATATGCACTTTGGAGAGTTTATCAATCGCTTTTTCGATTTCACTGTAAATGTAATAATGAAATATTAGCTGGTGTTTGAATAACCTAAGAACAAACATAATTGAGGATACTTACATGATACCGTTATCATTTCTCATCTTCTTTGTAGAGAAGTTGGTGTGAGCGCCAGATCCATTCCAATCTTGAACGGGCTTAGGATCAAACGTAACAATAACACCGTATTCTTCAGCTAGTCTGTGCAAAATGTAACGAGCGACCCAAAGGTCATCACCAGCATGCACTCCAATTGAGGGACCGACTTGGAACTCCCACTGTGAAGGCATCACTTCAGCGTTTGTACCGGCAATCGGTACGCCAGCATAAAGACAGCATCTGTAATTCGTTTTTCGTAAATTCGTTTTGTTTTTAAAGTTTTGTTATTTTACATGTAACATTTTACTTATAATCACATTACAATAACGTAAGACGCAGAAACAATGTAATATTTAGTACTTCGATCGTTTACGAAATAACAGAGGATTTCTTTTTACGTGATATTTTGTAAAATTTTGTCGATGGAGTCAATTTAACTTTGATCGATTAATATAGATATCCGATTATTTGTTTTAACATTTATAAAGAGTTTCTGAAAATTCAAACATTTCTAACATAAGTTATATGTTTTAGAACTGACCGATAGTGGGCTTCGACAAGGTCTCTGGCAAAGACTTTGTTGGCACCGACACCGCAGTAGTATGGCCCTTGCGGTGGGGGGAAACCACCCGGGGGCCACCCGAAGGGGCGCAGATCTGAATCCAGTAAAATATATTCCTGTTCTATCCCAAACCAGGGCTCATCATCCTTGCATTTGTCGTAAGCTTCTTGACAACTGATGCGATTGTTGCTCTCTGTGTGTTATTAGAAATTAAGTACTTTTACATATCGTTTAACGGTAAATCATATTAATCGTTGTCACGAGATAAAGGTTGTTTCATAATGATGATTATCTAACAAAATGAACCTCTAAAGTGAAATATTCAGTACCTGTTGGCTCCATGTTGTATTTATACGTATCACACATAACGAGGATGTGATTTCCTCGACGGAATGGATCCTTGTAAATAGCACGAGGTACGAGGTAGGTATCAGAATTGTGCCCATCAGCTTGGTTGGTTGAGCTGCCATCGAAGTTCCATATAGGCAGATCTATAACAAACTTATGGTTAAGAAATAAATGATAACATGATGTAAAACGTATTTGTAATAATTCTAGAAGAATCTAATTAGTTTCATTCGATTGAGACAATAACAAAACTACATTTGCCCTACATTTGTCTATATATCTACATTCCATAAACTACAGCTAACAACAGACTATGTTTGCGACATTCAACATTTCTAAGATTGCCGAAACCTGAAAAGTTTTCATCAAAGCTGTTCTTGCGTTCATTTTTCGGTGAACAGTTAGATTCATAGCCAGACGGACCTTCTTGATCTTTCGGATAGTAATGTATTAGAAAATGAACTTCGTTCTTCAATTTCCATTCTCTAGCATTCGATTTTGCTCTTGCATTATAATCTTCGAGGATTCGACTTAGTTTGTCTATTAATTGAACAAATAATCACTAAATTCATAATTTAAATATGTACGTAAAAAGCGGATCTCATTCTCAGGAGTTTTGTCTCCGAAAAACCAGAAACACAATTATAGCTGTTTTTTAAATAGCATTGTTTTAGCCTGAATATTTTACTTTTGTGGTTAATCACACACAATGTAGTTAGAGGTCAAACAATTTACGTAAAATTGTTCTAATTACTTTAATTAGCTGTGAGAGGATGCATACAATATAAACGATCTAGTTACAACAGCAGTTTCGTCATCAGGTGACTATGTTACAACAATAATTACTGTGACATTTATATATTTATATATTTTATTCTTTAATAGTTAGATAAATAGAATGGCAGTTTTTGAAGATAATCAAATATCTATTCTTCGTTTTAATTCGAAAAACGCGCTTTCTTAATGATGTAATAATACATTTCGATTGAATCTTACCTTTGGGAGCTTTAGGTATGAAATTCAAGGTGCGATCTTTGCACCTCAGGTGTTCGCCAGAGCCGTCGATCCAAATGTAGGTGGCGAGAATCTTGTCAGCCGGCAGTGGAAGATCATTGTATCGACTCAGTAGCGTTTTGGACAGCACTGCGTTCGGGGAGTTGGTTAAAACCGGCCCCGATAGAATCTTCGGATTATCTGTAATACGTATTCCAGTTATACTCCCAAGGGTACACGTTTATTAATAGACATCGTTGGTATATTGAAATGGATACTGACAGGGTCGATGATCGATAACTGGGTCTACCATTTCTGTTGTTTGCATATCAAATATATTGTTATTGGTTGTCGGCTTCTCGCGTCTGACTGATTAGTACACCCACAATTTTTAATTCAACTGATATATTATTACGTGCATGTTTAATCAATGTTTCAACAAAGACAAAAAGTGATTCATATTGCGGTCATCGGGGTATTATAAACAGAAGATTTCATTATTGTATAAAGCCAATCTATGCACGTAACCACGATAATTTGTTTTGAAATGATCAATGACAATTTGCTGTCAATTTTGAGCGTGTAACCTCAACATTGCTTACGATCGAGCCGATGTTTGTTATATTAAGTTCTATTGTTGTTGTTGTGTTTATGTTAGAATATGCTCTAATAATATTTTATTTATGTTCTTTTTAATTTATTGAAGTTGTTTCTGCCTTCAGAGGAGTTACGACACCGCTAATATTATTTCGGATAGTACCTACAATGTATTAAGATATAATTACATACCAGGTTATAGTCAGAATTGCTGGTTACAAAGATAGATTTTCTTCGTAAAGTAATCACGTAATTCGCGTTGCGCTTCAACTTTTATGTAAAATAAATAATGAAACCAACTTGAAATCCAATATTAATTTGTGATGCGAATAAATAATATACTCGAATGTTCCTACCACGCCCATTCTCGAAATACGTCTTAGTTTTACTGACAGAAGGACAATGTGTATCTGATTAGATGAAATAAATTTCAACAAAAAAATTGTGATATTTAATAGTGAATACTATATAAATTATTGCCATAAATGCCATACAGTCTATGGTATTTTCTCGTGCCGATCGGAAATAGTAATTTTAGAAATGACCCATGCACAATGTTATAATCACTCACCTTCTATTTTGGTATGCGCTGTATCAGCCATTTTGAAACAGGTAAGGCACGATTATGTCTGTAAATAAAAATAAAAATATTAAGAATCTTACTATTTCGTATAAAAATGTATGAAAAAGAATGACGGGCAATCGTAACTGATCAAAATTAAGATGTTTCTCCTTGACATTTAATTTTATTGTACGCTTATTGCCTACTTATGGAACGGCAAACGAATGAATTTAAATTAAAAATATTTTGATTTTGTGAATGACTAAAATATTTACAAGCACATTTAAAACACATCGACAGCTGATTATCCATTAAAATGTAAAAAAATATATATTATTGGAACGATTTTTTTTATTTAACGAGAATATTGAACAATGTATCCATTAAACAAAGATGAATCTAATTTTTCATTTACTAAGAAGCTAATAATCAAATCACGCATTAAGATCGTGGTTCCAATACGTAAGTTAATTCATTATTTCGATTATTTCAATACTTTGAGTGCGCGGGCCATTGAAAAAACATTACTAGAACAAACAAAAAAATCAAGCATCAAGAGATAAATTATTTATCTCTTGATGCTTGATTTTTTTATCAAGCTTGATGCTTAATCAAGCATCAAGAGATAAATTATTTATCTCTTGATGCTTGATTTTTTTGTGTGAAACTTTTCAAATTTGTGTTTGTCTTCGTTTTCGGGTACGATGCTAATAGACCCGGTACACTAGTCTAGAAATAATATCAAACGATAGGAAAAAGTGACTTAGCAGTGCTCCTGGTTATACCGACGTCCTTAATGAAAGGTAACCGCTGAAAACCAGATGGACCGTAAACTCGCCCGTGTATGGTAATAAAAATATAATTGATATATGCACTTTGGAATTTTTTTAAGCAAATTAGTAACATAATCTCCAGTATTACTAACTTTACCAAAAAATAGACCAATAAAAGCCTTGACACGATTACAAAAAGATCTTTTCGTAATCGTCCAATATTCATCTAAATTTCAAATAATTAATGGTTATGATATTATTCCCTAATTGGACTGACTAGATGAAATTGCTTGAACTATAGTCATTTGATACTAAGAAACAGAAATTCATTTCACAACTTCTACAAAATTAGGTACTCAATTTCAAACACGTCGCTTACAAAACGATTTTTGGATAAGGACATTATAACCAAATAGGATATTTAATGGGAAAGAAGAATATAGAGTTTTGTGTTATTTTCTGATAATGTTTCGTATATTGGTTACATATAAGTCGTATTAAATGGTATAAAACAGACAATTTTTTGTGTGGTTTCTAATGCCTTATGCCGGAGTTATTTAGGAGTTTTTGAAGACTTTATGTTACGAGATTTTTAATCGATCGATTAAATTAAGAGTTAAAACAAAAGGAGGTAATCTCAATTATAAAACTTAAAAATCTGTTGTAACTAACCAAAAACATTCATAGTGTAATCCAAAGTCTAAAATTATGATTTATTTTATAATGCGTACGCTCGATAATTATTTGGGGTTGAGTATTTTGTATTGGAGATGAAGTTGAAGTAATTCGAGGTATACAAACGGTAAAAATAGGAAAACCTTTATTCATAAGTACAAAAAACATTTGGATAACTTTTTCTACGTCAAATTTAGTATCCATTTATAGAATTTTGCACAACGCATTATTGTATGTGGCAAGAAGTTCAAGATTTCTCTAATGAAAAAAAAACCTTGTTTACATTAATTGCGTAGAAAATCTATTAAAATATATGTACATGTATGGGAAGAACTATGTATGTTGTATGTAACAATATTAATAGTCAGTTTTGCTACTATTTTTGTAATTAAGTCAGAAAAAAGGGCGCGGCCATTTCGTGGCAATCAAATAACGCTCGCTAGTATAATGCAGGGTAAGTCGCGGCACTTACCCCCGTCGCTTGCGACGATGGGCTCGACGAGTAAATTAACCCATAGACACAGCCCACTGAGTTTCTCACGGGATCTTCTCAGTGGGTCGCGTTTCCGATCCGATGGTAGATTCTGCGAAGCACTGCTCTTGCTAGGGCCAGTGTTAGCAACACTCCGGTTTGAGCCCCGTGAGCTCACCTACACATCAAGGAGAAGCTGATAAAGCCTCTCAAGGCTATCAGCATAGGCAGGAAAAAAGAAAAAAGAAAAAACAAGTGGCACATGAATAAGTCATTTATGTAATGGGAAAAGTTCTTTATAAAATATATGCTAGCTATCAATAATAAACCGACCGATATTAAGTTTTTTATAGTCGGTAGTTTGTATATTTACCTATACGATTGAATTCGTTAGACCTTATAAAAGTAAAAGCATCTTTATTATAAAATACGTGGATGCTTGTAGCTTTGTTTGTTTTTATGTTGTCCTATTTATCGTGATCAATCTCTGTATCTTAATTAGTTTAAAGTTATCTAGTACTTGTGTACATACAAATCTGTAATGACATTTTTATTATTAATACACTGCAGTTAGTCTTGTGGTAAAATAATGATTAATTAAATGATTAAACTAATGTAAAATAATCGAGATTAGAAATTAATTCACGTCTGAATCTACATAACGTATCAAACCTAAACATCTCAATAATATTTTCTAAATGATCATCAAAACATCATAAACAAGCTCAAAAGTACAAAGTCATGAAACATGTAGGTACGTGAAAAATGAAACCAGAATTAGCTGGTTCACTCAAACGCCATTGACTAGGTGCTAATTATAATTATACGAGGCATTAAAGTATAAAATAAACATATCAGTGTAAATGTCTGCATCGAGATCTAGAGCTATGTGTGGATTCAACACGGGCGGAATCTTCCCAGTTTACTTAAAAAAAATGTGATTTCATTAACCGAATGGTTCAATTTGAAATTAAAATAAGTAAATAAGAATAAATTGTATACTGAATCTATGACGCTCGAGTTATCAACTGCATGATTAGTTTCGTTTTTTTTTTTTCAATTTTTTCATTATAAATTGAATACTTTAACGGGAGTACCAAAGCGCCATTGTGTACTATTGTTAAGGTTTTAACAAGGAAACATTTCGATTATTGTAATGCGGAAGCAACGACACAGATTGTATTTTAAAACGAATAAGAATAAATGTTTTTTTTAATAAATTTTATTGTTTATATTCTTTTTAACACATACTAAACGTTTTATTTTATTTTATTATCGATTGTTTATTACAGTTGTTATCTATTTGGGTTAACATTATTGAATCGTTATTATTGCCCTATAGATCATACATTGCATCAGCGCTTAACGATTGGATTGTAAATGCACTTGAATCAATGGAGGGCTTTAGATGGTCTGAACAATCGGTAACATAGTACAAGTACTTACATCCTCTTTGTGTCGCACTGCGGACGAATTAATGCACTGTTCAACGTTCACAACTGTATCATTAATAAGCGTACTAATGAAACAATACGCCAGGAAATAATGAATAAGACAGGTCATCATAATTATAACAAAATTATAGACTCGAATGTGAGCTAAATGGTTTCTCCTTCTTTTTCTATTTTTAGGCTGCAACATTTTTTATGTAGGGGCAATTAATTGGCTGAAAAGATGAATATGTGACTTTTTAACCCAATTTGATCCCGAAAAAATGAAACACGACTATCATAATTTTTAACTAACAAATTTAACGTAGATCAAACATGCGGCATATCGTCTTGATCTAATTTATATTTGTTATTAAAATAGAATCACTACTAATTTAGCTACATCAAGATTGTCTTAAATCTCTTTTAAAGTGAAACAACGCAATAGTAGCAAACTTTGAGTCTTTACAATTTTTTCTTTAAAAGAAAAATCGGTTTTATTATTACAATGTTCGTCGAATTTTCTTTAAAATATCATTGAGGGCAATGACTGACTCACGCATAACGACCGTGCTACGGCATCTCGGTCGATATACATACCTACCCTGCTCTTATTCAGAATGTCAATATTTTACTAATTTAATAATAAATAATGCACCATTAAACATATAATGAAGATATTCAGAGTAATTGGTTTAAACAACTTGAAATTAACTGATATATTTAATAACGAACAAGGTCATAACAAAAATTAGGAAAATTACTACAGCTATATTTAAATACTACTGTCCTCTATTTTTGTATGAAATAAAACAATTTTATGGCTTGCAGCGTTCTTTGTGTCCATTTTGTTCTGAATCATCGAGTAACGTACCTATTGCCCGTTCGTTTACGTCAAGCTCATAAAGACAAAGAAAGTAAAACAGTGATTTAAAGATTTTAAATAAAACGCATACGTAACGCAATTATGACTAGGTTCAATCATTTATAGGTATCAAAAGTGAGAGTCCGTAAACTAAAATGGAATGAATAGTCTATTTATTCACAACGACATTCCATAAAACATCTGAGCCAGTTTATTCATACCCATTTACCTTAAAACATTTCGTGTTAACATTCTGACCCAATTTGCAGTGTTCGAACGGAATAAAATAGTAAGTTCTCGATAGACTGAAATCTATTTCAGTTTGTAGAATTATTTTGAATGTTTTCATTTATAAAATTATTACTATTTAGAAATAGTTTTTTTAACGCCGTTAACATTAATACAATTATTTTAGTAACATTAACTATGTAACAATATATAAACCTTTGTATATTAGAGATGCTTCATATCAATTTTACGACTGATAAACAATTATATATAATATAGGTCAAACACTAACTTGCAATATGTGTAAACTAAAATATATGATAATAATATATGTCAGAGTATAAAATCGTGTGCGTAAAATGTTAATATCTAATCTGTCTGTATGTTTTTTCTGTACGCGGGGGGAATAAACCCGTTGCGCAGTTGCGCTATTAAAAATATCATACTAAAATTATTGTGAAATACAAGCAAGTATTTATTTTTCAAATTAACAAAACGATCTTCAATGTAACGTAGATTGTGTGAACTTACGTATTCTCACTTACCATTGCTTATAACAAACAGTACATAATCATTAAACCGTACTTAATCTGTAACCTAATCGAACTATTAAAACATCTAATCACCATCGTACAGCTTGAATGTCTTTTATCTAGAGGATAAAATGTTGCAATTTTTGCTTTTGGCCATTAAAGCGTTTTTCCAAATTCGTCTTTTGTATCATTGTAATGTGTTTCATGGAGCGATTTAGTACAATAATAGCGTCAGTTTACGCAAGACGTTCTATAATTTAGGTCAAGAATAATCAAAAAAAATTTACGCACTGTAATGTTCCATAGTCTGATTGTAAAACACCTATATCACTTAATTTATCTTGACATCTATTTGATTACTTAGTTGATAGTAATTATTGAGGCAATATAATTAATATCGCAATTACTTTAGTGTGTCAGTAATCTAATTGCCAATAAGAGTTACGTAAGTTCATAGACCAATTAAATTAAGAATACCTCTGTTTCTAAAAAGGTCTACTAATATTCTAATTTAATCGTGTAAGATCAATAGTTATTAAAAAAATATAAAAGTTAATATCTCATATACGCTGGAAGAAGGCAATCAAAGTGGATTAAAACCCGATAGACTATACAGATGAGTATATATACCTAGGTAAATTGGGGTCTTTCAATGCAAACAGCAACGAAAAGAAAATAGAAAGGCGAATACTTCAATTACGCATGAAAACTAAATTAACTGATGCCCTTCATTTTAGTTTGAAACAAAAGTGGAACTCGGCAGGACACTTATCCAGATATAAGCATGAGAGATGGACTTACCGAACTACTAAATGGCTGGGCCCAAAGGGTAAACGAAATGTGGGAAGACAGAAGAAAAGATGGGTCCCTGATATAATAAGGACTGCTGGAGCAAGATGGATGCATTTGGCTAAGGGCAGGGAACAGTGGAAAAGGATGGAGGATGCTTTTACCCAAGATGGGGCCACATAACAACGAAAAAAGAAGAAAAAACTAGTTTACAATCGGACATATTGCATTGTTAAGTGCAAATAAAGGTATAATAATAATAATACGCTAGAAGGCAATGTCTTATTTACTACCCAACCTTTTCAAATGCTAAAATTTTGTTCGTTATCATGTACTAAAATTAAATATAATTAAAATAAACAACAATAAATATATTGTAAAGGAAAAGACAAGATAAATTTACGGATACTAATGAATCACGCGTTAATAACACTGAACCTCTACGCGACCGCGTGAACGAATTTAACGTTATCTTCACAAACACGTGCGGTTGTTTCACATTTTAATGTAAATTTTTTTGAAGAACAAGGCCGACCTTTTGTTCTTCGATCTTTAACAAAATGAAATCAAAATGAGCGAGCATTTTAAGGATTTACTAAATGCTTTTTTTTAATTGTTACTGTTTCCTTATCTTCAAACAAGACCATGAAACTGAAACTTGTCACTGAGTTTTATTACTAGTCGTGCTAGATAATGCTGTGTAAGTGCTCTAGGTGGTATTGTTAATAAGTATAAACGGAGATTATTGTGAGAAGCTACAATGTTGTTTACAACAATGACCTTCACTAACATGTAACGAGGCAACCTCTAAGAAGGATAACGAACGGGAACAATAATATACAGCACGTCAGTCATTGAAATGCTTACCTTTAATTTATCTAAGGTAATTCACCCAGAGCCTCGATACCCGAGAAGGTTATTTTTTATTTGTCATGATATTTAATGATAAAACTTAAGTAATTGTAATATAGACTGTAGTATGTATGTATGAATCGTTTTAATATTTTGTAAATAAGAAGTCTAAGAATCAAACTAATTCTTACTGAAGACTAAATACATATATAGCTCGTATCTTTAATTTCGTAATTGCTAAACTATGATCAGTGAATACTGATATGATATGACTAATGGCGTAATATGGAGGGAAAAGCAATATTTTAGCTCATGTCTATGAAAAATGCCTATGAAAATGAAGTGATTTATTTATCTATAGTTTGTAAGCTATTAAGGCTTTGTAGTATCCAAATGGAGGAAGGGATGTTTTACACATAATTATATTTTTGTTGTTGTTGGAAGTTATTGTGATCCTGATTGTACTAACGAAAACATGTATACCTGCTGACTTCTCTTGCAAATTGGTAGGAGCAATTTAAATCAATAAAACTTAGCTCGCGTCGAGTTTTTATTAATTTATTTATTTTATTTTCAAGTTTTTGTCTTAAATTTGTCAATAATCTAAATTGGATTAAGAGAATTTTCAAAATAATAATTGTGATTGTTGTGCATGATTGTAGGGAAACTCAGTAGTATCAGACGATAGCCAAAAAGTTGGATGTACGATTCGAAGGTGGTCGATTCTGACAACCGGGAAATAAGGAAATTAAGGTCTATTTCTAGAGGAGGATATCGTACGACTGATACTGATGGCGATCGAAGACTTAGTGACTTAGTATGTGCAAACACGTATTCTTACTAACAACCCGCGGCTGTAAATGGTTTTAATTATATTGATTTTCCCGGAAACGATGTATTCTATTTATTAGATTTTCGGTGGCGGACTAAACACATCGATGAATAAGGAATTTCAAATTTTTTTTGTATTTTTAGAAAACGTTATAATTAAATGATTATGGTGATTTAAAATATTTTACATTGATATATTTATTGTTCTGTAAATATAGTTAATTCATTTTGAAGTAAAATTAAATTTCATATCACGATTTAATACCTATTTTAAATTTTGTTTATATTATACAAATTACAAGAATCCAAGTAAAAAACGGTTTTTATTATTACGAAATCTAATCAATAGTTTAATTACAAAATAAATAATTTATTTTTCAACAAAACTTATTATACTAATCTTAGTTTAGGTTTACCATATTTTAAATAGAGTCTTAGAAATTTAACCTCAAGAATAATGATATTGACTGGGTAATTAAAAAATTATAAAACAAGTATGAAAAATGGTTTACACAATAATGACTTTATTCCATTACTAGTTTTTGTTCGCGGCTCCACTCTCATTAATTCAGGAATAAATATCCCTCTGGAATAATTCTTTTTTTCTGGATGAAAGGTACTCTATGAGATTTTGTATTGTAACCCTTACAACATGTATGAAAAATTTCTTTATTATTGGCTGGGCAGTTAAGATTTACGTAAACAAACAAACTCACTTTCGCATCTTTAATGTTAAGTAGCATTTGTTTGTTTATGCTCTTGACGATTTTAGGTACTGCTTCAGCTTTCAACGTTAATTTTAAGTTTCATGTTTCCAGTACTGACTATTTTTTTTCAGATTTTAAAAAATCCCCTCTTTACCAATTTTATAAACTAAAAAAAAAACTAATAATGTTATTGTTGCGTATAAGTTAACGCAATAACTTGTTTGTATTACATTTTTCAATCTCGTCTGGGTTCTATGAGTCGTGATGTTATGAGTTCGCTGTCGTTAAGTTCGCTAAGCTTTATTGGTGTCGGCGGCACAAATGTTGGCCAAACTTGATGCAATTCGCAATGCAGCCGGATGATGGCTGGCGAGTGGCGCGTGCACTGCGAATGCACGTGTTAACTAAGGTCGACGGGAAGTTTCCACACGCGACTCAGTGCACCACCCACCAAAAACATTACGTACTTTGCAGCCTTTCGGGTGCAAAAGCCTGATTTTCTCAAACAGCCCACTTAATTTATTAATGTTATTGTTTTGTTTACGATACCTTGAAATGTTCCCTCGATGCGAGTGTTGAATATTGCGCGAAAACGTATTTACGAAAGGTTTTGTCGGAGCGTAAAATGTTTCGATCGCCTCACGGGGCGGTCTAGAGATTGACTGGTGGTCGCGCGGAGTGCTGGAGTATTTATGCGCGCGCATCTCTTTGCGTTTGCGCTGTGGTGGGTGGGAGCACATACGCACACACACACGCGTTCTATGCATGTACGCTCAGTTGTATGTAACCAATTCATTCACATCAAATTTCGTCAGGAGGGAGAGATCCCTCTAATAGATCCCACCCGTTGTTTATCCAGGATGGAACTTCTAATCACTGAACTTTGATCTCGGATACCAACGGCATCCACAATTTGCTGATCAAATATTTGAGGGAACATAGATTACAAGTTAAAAACCACAAGCTTACAAATAAGTACATCTACGTAAACGTCTACACCAATTCTGTTAATTGTTCTACGTTAAATATACCAGAACAAGAAACATAATTAACAGTCAATTAAGAATTTCTATTATACTAATTTATTTTTAATTGTTTTGATTTTTAATGTAGGTATATTAATGTACAAAAAGTATTGTCTTCGCTCTATCTACCTCATGGAACCGAAATCTTTCCAGATTTATTGTGAACACTGTGGTTAATTACGTTTGTTGTTTCATTACGTTTATATTCTTGTGCATTCATACTAAGGACATTACTGTATCTTTTGGTTTGGCGTCTGAACTGTCATCGTCTACTGGAATATGAGTGACGTCTTTAACTTCGCGGGATTCCTTACGTCGTGAACGTTTATCGAATTCTTAAGACTGATCATCGATCTAGTGTCGACACTGTCCATTTGAAAATTGTTAAGTCGCTCGTGCCAGAGACGAAATCTCTAGCTTGTCGGATCGCGAGCGGCTAGCTTCCTGCAACTACAGAGGAATCCAGCGATCTCCACCGGCTATCAGAAGACGCTTTTATGCCTTTATTTCCTCTACATCTGGTAGCATAAGAGGCTTATTCTATCTACGAGCGAACTAGTACATATAATAATATGGTAAAACTATAATAAAGAGACTACGAATAGAATATTTCGTAAAACAATAACATGTTGTGTTGTAGTTGAATTCATGCTAAGTTTCTTAACGCTGTCAACGTCAACGCGGTCAAAGAGGAGATAAGGATGTCAACAACATGATTTAAATGTCAACTCGAGTAACATCAGACATTTGAAGTCGTCGTGGCCTAAAGGATAAGACGTCCGGTGCATTCGTGTTGAACGATGCACCGACGTTCGAATCCCAGGCGGGTACAAATTTTTCTAATGAAATACGTTCTCAACAAATGTTCACAATTGACTTCCACGGTGAAGGAACAACATCGTGTAATAAAAATCAAACCCGCAAAAATTATAATTTTCGTAATTACTGGTGGTAGGACCTCTTGTGAGTACGCGCGGGTAGGTACCACCGCCGTGCCTATTTCTGCCGTGAAGCAGTAATGCGTTTCGGTCTGAAGGGCGGGGCAGCCGTTGGAACTATACTGAGATCTTAGAACTTATATCTCAAGGTGGGTGGCGCATTTACATTGTAGATGTCTACGGGCTCTAGTAACCACTTAACACCAGGTGGGCTGTGAGCTCGTCCACCCACCTAAGCAATAAAAAAAAAACCCAACATCTACGCAATGAAGCTGCTCATCATTAGTTACTCTAAACGCCCCGAACACTACCACATACAAGCTTGGACGCCCTATTACAGGCAAAAGATGATGCCCTTGCTGAAGATAAGTTCTGATCGCTAAATAAACATTAACTTTAATCTATTTATGGTCCATTACTGAATTTTGATAAACTTAAAAATAATATTCAAGTACAATACGCACCTGATTTTTTAATTTAATTTTTATCGTCCATATCCTTGAGAGGCAAATAAACGTACATATATCACATATGTGTATGATATCACTCAATGTAAACTTTAATAGTAAGTTGTCACGATTTTCTATCAGTCTCATTTAATATAATTGGACACTAAAAAGGCCACAAAGAAAATAATCCGTGCCTGACTATAGAACCTAAATAACAAGCCACTTGACAATTGGTTCTTTATGTAAAGATGATCACGCGAATTTAGCGTGCAAGCAGAAAGTTTTTACCACATCCATCTGTTATCTACCAAATCTAAGTGTAAAATGAAATCGCAAATAATTTTACACAGGTACATGTAATAACGAAAATCTCAGATGTGACTTTGGCTTACTTATATGTGTTTTGTTGTATTATATTCTAGTCGTTTCCAAAGTTTTTCCTCTTCAGATGTTTTCCTTAAAAACACTTAAGATATCTATAGATACAAATAACAAAAAAAAAAAAGATTTCAAAGTAAATATATAATTAAAAACAAATACATTAACTTCGAAGCATGACGCAATATTGTCATATGCTTAATATAAGAAAAGGGATATCTATAAACACTCCTCACATAATGCCCATACAGTTTAGTAATCACTTTGTAGCGTTACACTTAGTTATTTATACGTTTGTAGCGTAGCTCATTATACAATAAATTTTAATATATTATACTCTAATGCCTTTTAATAAAGAACATTATTTTTATTTCAAATTATTAGGTGAATAATTGCTGTTATATAATAGTATTTTTTTTGTTATCACGTTTTTTTAGGTTTTAAGTTACGTAGTTGGATTCTTCCAAAATGTTATTCTATTAGTAAGTACTGTATGACCTGTCGCACTTCCTGGCATTTTAGTAAGTTCATTGCTACTGCTTGTTTTGTTACGACTACTCCTGTTATATCTTCGAAGAAATATTTGAAGATTACACATAAAACTCTTATATCAAGGTGAGCTTCAAGAACGAAAAACTGGCAGTCTCAAGCTGATTAATAACTGACACGGGATATATAAACATAATAAAATTAATATATTCGTAATACTATTTACCTACTACTAAAATCCATATGTAGCAGTGGAAATTTTTATTTTACGGGTATCATTGGTATGAAGATTAGGTACTTCAAGAAAGTCTAACAAGAATCAATATTTCCACAGAAATATTGTATGTTTTATTGGAATAAGAGCTTTACGCTTAAAAACTAGTTATATCAAGATTTCAAATTTATCGCTACATTCGCAAGAGAATCCAAAATAATGCTGTCGTTTAAAAATAAAACAACAGTGTTTCGGATTTAAAGTAATTGTCTAAATCTCATTTCATGCATAATTCACATTGATAATACTCGTATTAATGTCAATGATCCCACCCTGCGATGACATGTAAAACAGTATTACATTTATCGTTGTTTGTATATCCATATCACGAGTATTTCGGAATGGCAAGGATGTCGTACGAGTATAACACAGTGATCATGCTGACAATCCTCGTAAGCACGTGCAAAAATAACCAGTCGAAACCGCAAAATACCGACCGAACTCTAGACTATCTAATTATTCAATGTAGCCTCCAATCATTATGTTCGATAAGAACACGGCCGACACGTAACTAATAATATTAGGTACCTACATATAAATTTCATCTGTTACCTTTATTAATGTCTTTTATTGTATTTTAATAATAACTGTCATAAGTCATATGGGTTTCAAATTTTAACAGTGATGGAAACTGAGTATTCTCAGTGACTATATTTATATTATATTAATTTCAGTAAACAAAGTACATTTTTGGTATTGTCTAATATAGATTTCCAACTTTTTTTTTTTTTTCTAACGCTGTGGAATCCATTTACGGATACCCGTTCGAGAGGGGTAATAAACCGGGTTATGTCAGACTCCGGCGCCTTCAGAGAAGAAGAGGGAGAAGAGGAAGGCCAAAGTCCTCCACTTCTTCAGATTCCTACCGAGAGACTAGGCCTTGAGAAAGGCGCGCGAGACGCTGCGCGGCGTCTACTCCTACGTCCGACTCCACGAAACCTACGGTACCGCACAGTGCGCGCCGAAGGCTCGCCGTCACCGGTACCCGTCCTGACAATAGGACGGGATTCCATCCCAGGGAAGATCCCGCAGGACGTTCTCTCGGGAGATACACCGTGAGTGGCGCATAGGAGCCACCTTGCGCCGCCTCACCACGGAACCGACAGCAGAGCACCGGGCGCCCCCGCACCCGGTACCCAACAGTCCCTACGGGAGATTAACGGGAGCATCGTGCCCGCGTTGCCCACCCCGCCTTCTTCGCTGAGGTGCCGAAGAGGGATCCCACTCCCTTTCGCGCTCCTCAGCCTCGCGAATATAGATTTCCACCTGTACAGAATAAAGAAAATTGAAGATTAATTTTTTTTTAAATATTCGCAGTTGTTTTCTTGGAACACATCCAAAACTATGTCATATTGAATATACGAAGCATTTCTGAAAGGATCAGTTAAGTGGGTTCATTTGAATGATAAAGTTGATTGTCCGAACAATAACAAGTAAATAAGACATATAAATTTTAATTTAAATATCTATACAAAAGTTGTAATGTGCTTCTTTGCTGGTCAGTGATTTGAAGTATAAGAATGTGCGATTTCCCTTAACCAAATGGAAGTGAATTACAAGTTACGCGCGATGGTAATACCGTAAGAAGCATTTTCGTTACTTGATCGATTGCTAGGTCATCGACCTAATCGAATACGAAAACCATTTTACATGACTCTTAATGGCTTTTATTAAGCTCTGTACTTATTTTGGTTTGATTTGGTTTTACTAATCTAATAACTATAGGTATGTATTCCTTATATGTATTACAATAAAACATTATAGAATATTAGCAACAAAATTAAGGATTCAACATATGTATGTACCAAACTGAATAACAGACCCAATATGCTTCGAGTCGTCTGCATTATTATCATCAAGCGATAATTAAAACTACATTTATGGACACGTTGTCCGCGACCACGAAAATCGTAAAATAATCGAAATGTCAACAATAATTAACTAACAAAAAAAACGCGAGAATAAAACGTAAGAGTACGCCTACGACTCGCGAAGACCGAAGAAAAGCCATTTTTTTGTCAGGAGGAAATTGCTGGACTTCACTGGGGATGGAGGGCGGGATATGTTGGTGTCGGACCGACTAAAACCTCCTGTCGCTCAACAACCAGCATGCAAACCTCGCATAAGAC